AGACACATCATAGTCAAGGTTCTGAAAACAAAAGTCAAGAAAGAAATCTTTTTTTTTTTTAAGATTTTATTTATGACAGAGATAGTGAGAGAGGGAAAACAAGCAGTGGGAGTGGGAGAGAGAGAAGCAGGCTCCCCACTGAGCAAGATGCCCAATGAAGGGCTCTATCCCGGGATCCTGGGATCATGACCTGAGCTGAAGGCAGACGTTTAACGACTGAGCCACCCAGGCACCCCAAAAAAGAAATCTTGAAAGCAGTGACAAATAAACACCTTACTTACGGGGTAAAATGACAAAAACAATTTGAATGACACAGAAGTTAGAAACCATGGAGGCCAGAAGAATGTAACACATCATTTTTTTTTTTAAGTGTTGAAAGAAAAAGAAACTGTCAACTTAAAATTCTATATGCGTTGAAAATTTCCTTTAGAAACAAAGAACAAAAGACATTCTGTAATTGTCAAGCATTGATGGCCAGCAGACCTACCCAAAAAGAATGACCGAAGGAAGTTCTTGAAACAGAAAGGAAATGATAAAAGAAAGAACCTCAATAAAATAAATGATATCAAGAAAGAAAGAAAGAACGAATGAATGAACGGTGGCAACAAAAGTAGGGTCATACAATAAATTTTTCTTCTTCGGGTTTCAAAATTGTATTTGGCAATTGAAACAAAATTTGAAATGTTGTTTGGTGTGATTCTCCAATGTGTATAGAAGAAATACCTAAGACAACGAAGGAGAAAAAGTTTCTGTACTTCACTCAAATTGGTAAAATGACAATACCAGTAGATTGTGATAAGTTATCTATAATGTAGCATCTGGGAAAACAATTAAAATTCTGTACAAAGAGATGAATTCAAAAATACTGAAGGTAAATCAAAATATAATTCTCTTTTTATTTATTATAATTCTGTTCTATTCTTGTGATTGCCAGAGGTGGGGGATGGGAGGGTGAAATAGATGAACTGTCTTTTGGTTTTTAAGTTTAAATAGTGAGTTTAAATATATATACATATATATACATACTCACATACATACAATATCTATAATATAATTATAGATATCTATAATTATATCTATCATTATTTATATATGATATCTATATATGATAGATTATATATAATGATAGATATAATTATAGATATCTATAATTCTAAAACATTTTAGAGATTGTCAAAAATAGGAGAAATTTATTATAGCTGAGTTTTAGCTAGACCCACTGAGGTGAAGATGGAGATTGATTGAGGCCAGACGCTAAAGATCTTCAAAAAGCCATGTTTAACAGAAGATTCGTTCCTATTGCGATAGGAGAGGAAACAAAACCATATATGCAGGACCAACAGTCCTATCAGTTTTGTGCTTTTGAAGACAATTTCAGCAACAGATAACCTCCTTGCACCATCTTTTATCATTTTCATTTCACATAATTTAGATCAATTAGTATCAACAAAGATGCTATCAAAAAAGGAACACTGTTGCCAGAGCACTAATCACACTTTGGAAATTGAGCATTTGGAAATCAATACAGAATGTTGAATGAGAAGATACTGTCATACCTTCTAAAATATCATCTGGCCATTATGAGTGGAATGGCCACAGGAATTGAGACCCCTGCTGGGCATCACAGCTGCCCACAGAGTGCCAACCCAGGCAGAGAGTCTGCCTCCAAGTTACTTGTGAGCTGAAAGCTTATGGACAACTTTGGGTATTTATCCAGGCCTCACAATACACTTGGCAGGCATGAGCACCTTTGACTGAGAGATCCAGGATTTGTCATTTAGGTTCCAAATCTTTTCTTTTACTGTCTGTATTCGGAATTCGCCCAGGCCAGATTCTGAAAGGAATGTGTCACTGAAGGCAAAAGAGGGAACACAGCAAGCAGATCGTTTAGAATAAACCCAAGACTCCCCCACAGGTGTATTTGGTCTTGACCTCTCACGAAACCAGCAAAACATTGCATGATGTCAAAATACAAAAAAGTAAATAAACCATCTAAGAGATGTTTTCTCTGAAAGGAAGAAGTGTTAAAATTGGAAGATCACAAGAGGTACTGAAGTCCCCTTAAATTCTTTATTGGAGGAGAGAGATTATAAACCTTCTAAAAGGTTAAATCCTTTGTTTCAAAAAACTCGTTAGCCCAGTGATAGATTTTCTGTATTGATTTTCCATTCAGCAGTCACATGCAAATGCCCGTTATGTCCCAGGCATGGTGCTAAGTTTGATGACAGAAAGACTTTTATTCCATTATCTCAATAGTGTTGTCACAACTGCAAACTCCATGCCACCGTGTTCCTGAAATAGCATAGGGTCCAAAAATTCTCCAAGACTGTGTTATCATCTCAACTAATCTGTGTTACCATATTAGGAAAAAGGTAATTTTTAACTAAGTGAATTTTTTTTTAATATCTTCGGCATGAAAACATGACAACAAGTTGGCACACTAATGTACTTAGTCTACAAAGAAATATATTGAGTTTAAAGTCTTCTTTCCAGAAGGTCTTTCTAATACATCTTTATTCATCTTCTTGATTTCCTTGACTCCCCAGAGCCCTCCTGGTTTAACCAGTCTCATCCTTTGGTTAGTACTAGTCTGTAGTGATGACCATACCCCGGCTTCCTCGCCTCTCCTGCCACCCTCCCCTCCCTGCTGCAGAGGCCCATGGCAGCAAAGCAAATGCCCACACTCATGGCAACAATATCCGCTATGCCGAGGCTGGAATGACTCAGTGTCCCCCAAAGATGAGCCTCAAGACGAGTTACCAGAGCAGCTTTCATAGAGGTTGGGATAATTATCTCGATCCCACAACTGGAGCTACAACAGTCTTACCTTGCTCCCATCCTTGACATGGATTGTTTCTGGTGACATATTCTCTGTCCAGACCATTGAAACACAAATATATTCAACCTTGCTCCCAGAAGCATGGTAAGCCTCACAGCCCTTATAACCAAGCCACAAAGAAAATCCTAAAATTCTTGACCATCTCAATTGTTTTAAAAACAAATAATGGTTATACCAGTAAATATGTCATTTTAAGTGAATTTCCTAATTTAAGGGAGGAAAACATGAAAGTATAAGGCCTTTCTGCCAATCTAATTCAGATCAGAGATTCTCTCTCCTTGGGCTAGTATGTCTCATTACTAGAGGACAGCAGTCATAAAAGGAAGGCAGCATGGTAACTGTTTAATGGACATTTTCACAGAAATTAAAGTGGCACTTTTCAAAAGACACTCAGTCACTTTGTGGTGCAAGCCCCAGGGGACTGCACACACATTGCTGTTTCTGCTGCACACACAATGCCCAGGTACACACGGCACCAGTATCACATGTCCTTTGTTGCTTGAATTAAAGCAAGTGGAAGGTACTGCTCAGTGATCAAAGCCTTTGACTATCATATAAAATCCATCAAAATACTCTTTATTCATCCTCATTTCCCTGTCTTTAGCAAATGTCATTACAGAGTATGGCAAGGAGACATCTGTTTCCTCCACCATGCATTGCTTTGAATTTTGGGGGCTTAGGGTTTGGGGTTATTTGCGGGGGGTGTTATTTGGTTGTTTGGAGTTTTTACACCCAGTGTTTTGGGGGTTTACTGACAAACTCTTATGGATCTCAGATGTTTGTATTTGGTCCGAATCTAATAGGTTTTTGTTTTGTTTTGTTTTGTTTTGTTTTGTTTTGTTTTGTTTTTTTAATCACCCCACTCTCTGAAGATAGTTTCTTGTCTTGTCATTCTTCTGGGAGAAGCAAGGCTCCAGTGAATATTAACCCCCCCTCCCTGTCCCCACACTGAGGATTTATGAGAATCTGTCCTTAGGCAAAACACTTGTCAAAGATTTAAGGCGTAGGTGAAAGGGTCGTTCACCTTGTCCAGGCTGCTTTGCACTTAAGGCCATAAACCCTGACAGGCTCCCCCCACCCCTGGCCTTCACTAACATCCAGTTCTGATGAAGCAGTAGTCACAGCAGGAAGTGGCAAGCAGATATTTGCTGACTCAACATTAAAAAGTGATCATTGCATTTTCTGGGTTCAGAATTTGACCTCAAAAGAACAGATTCATGCATGTTGCAACGCAATTAATAAAGGACTCTGAAGATGTTGAGTATTATGTGAGTCCCGAAACTTTCTTTTTGACTTGAACTAAGAGTTGGTGTATTCCATCTGAATTTTTGTGGTTAATTAATTACCATTAGAATGTGTCCATTTTCCCAGTTATCTTTGAGTATATAATGATTTCTGGCAAATTTTCAGCATGGATATGAATCTCAAGGGTTTGAACATGTGAAACATTTGAACATTTGAAATGCTGTTACTATAAGCCACTGTACTGGGGTTGAATTTTAAAGTCTGGAATATATAAAACTGTGTAAAGGATGGATCTTCAGTTATTTAACAAAGAGCTCAAAGGAAAGTTACTGTTTGTACAGCAAGCCAGCTCCTGCAAATACTCCAGCATTCAACTCCCTGGGCAGGAAGAGGTAGGAAGCAGGGCTGTAACTTTGATGATCCCACAGGCTCCAGAACCTTTCAGCAGGCCATGAAAGCACAGAGCAGAATGCTGTGCCCTTCCTCACAGCCCACTTCCTAAAATAAAGCAAACAGACATTTCCAGTCTTCACAAAATATTTCAAGCATTTTGGATTTCCTTGCCTTTTTGTAGCTGATCAGATTAGGGGTGCATTTGCAAAGCCGTTCCCAGAAACAGTCATTCTGAAATGACACCACCCTCCCTTCGAAAATGGCCAGCAAATAACAAATGCCTGACTACCAAGGGGTACCAGCTTTCATTCCCAATTTGATTTATATACACATTTTTTTTTCTTTTAGGATGCCTGTGACCTGATGACTATTCTTCAGGTTTCAGGTGATGGTTGACAGATGGGCAGACCCCTAGGCACCTCTTCTCTCCTTTGGTCGAATGACAGCTTGCTCCGTGGTGTTTTGTGTTTGCTCACTTGGCTTTCCTTCCCTTTCCTTCCCGGGGGGCCTTGCTGGCTGGCAGCGCCGTGGTCCAGCAGGCCAACTGCAGAGCCTCCGTGCCTTCCAGCAAGGGCAGCAGCAGCGGCAGCAGCAGCAGCGGCAGCAGCTCGTCCAGTGACTCAGAGAGCAGCTCTGGATCTGACTCGGAGACCGAGAGCAGTTCCAGTGAGAGTGAGGGCAGCAAGCCTCCCCACTACTCCAGCCCCGAGGTAAGAAGAGCCTCCCCCTCCCAGCCTAGCTTCTTAGCTCTCCAGGGTGAGCACAGTAAATCCCTGGAGTCTAGTTCTCACAACTGTCCCCTCCCCGACTCCCCACCTCCCCGAGCTCCAACGCAGGACTCCCAACGCACCCCTTGGCAGCCAGTTAAGGCTTGTTTGGACTCATCATTTTCACCACTCTGCCATCTCCTCACCATTCTCCTAGCAGAGCTCCCTTTGAAGTACAGAAACTTTGTCTTTCATTGTCCAAAAATCTCTGGGTTAACTTCCAGAAATTTCCAAGTATGCTGTACACATCATCGCCTGGAAATAACCTCTGGATCCGGTCTCCCTAAGGGTTAGTGGAGGCAATAACCAGACAGGGCAGTTCAGCCCCTGGGAAGTGTGGGCACCCATAAATCAGGGGAAAGGAGTTTTATGGATTAGACATGGTTAGAGTCCTACCTTTTTGCAGTTTGTCACGGATTAGAAGAACTAGGGCTATAAATATTAATAAAAGCTTGTTAACTGTGTTTTCCTTGTGAAAATATAAAAAGAAAAATTAGCATCAACCTACAAATAATAATGAAACCTTTTATAGCTATGATGAGTATCTATTTGGAAGATTTAGGTGCCTCATATAAAAGCATTATAAGGTACCAATAAAAACCATTGCTGTTTCTACTTTAAAGGGGAAAGGGGGAAATTAAATAGTAATTCAGCACAAGGAGGTTCATGGGAGAGAGTTGAAAATAAACTTCTCAAGTCCCTGGATCTGTGATTGCCAGACATTGATTGCTAAAGAGGGCATAAAATACAGTTGCTTCTTGGGTATATAAACATTTGACATTACCGTGGATCACAAGATTTACATGTTTGGCCTACAAGCCTTTGTACCACTTTGGGGCCAAAATTTCCAAATAGGTTCTGAAATAAAACTGAAGCCACTGGGGTACATGGGTGGCTCAGTTGGTTAAGCATCTGCCTTTGTCTGGGATCAAGCCCCACATCAGGCTCTCTGCTCATTGGAGAGCCTGCTTCTCCCTCTGCCTGCTGCTCCCCCAGCTTGTGCGCTTTCTCTCTCTGCCAAATAAATAAATAAAATCTTCAACTAAATAAATAAATAAAACCGAAGGCTCTTTTGCAAACCATGGCAGTGAGAGAGGAGCAGAACAACCTTAAGGGGCTATACAATCCAAGGTTTCAGCTTGATACTTGTGCCTCAGGACATCGTCACACCCTAAAGCAATTGTGTTTTTATCTGCAGTTCATAGACTGGCTCTTAAGTTCCCTCCGGTATTTCCCCTTCCAGTCCCCTACCAGGAGACTGAGGCTTTTTGCAGAAGTACTGAGAATTTCTCCACACTGTTCATTCCTTTGTCAGCACCTTTTTGCTCTGCACCGAGAGCTCTCCATTCATCCCCAAATCCGCCATCTCTATCTTTCTTCCATTTTCTCTCCTTTCCATGATGCTCACCTCCTCCGCCATCCCTCTATTTCTGTCTACCAATATAAGGGGAGGGTCCTTAGCAACATTAATCTGTAATGGAGATATAACGCTGACTTTCCCAGAAACTAAATTATTATTCCTTCTTTATAATTTCATTCATTCACTCATTTAGTATTCATTCAACAAATATTTACCAAACATCTGCCACAGACTTACTGCTTGGCCTTGGAATTCAGCAATTTTCTGACAGAAAAGGTCCCGTCTTCAAAGAACTGACATTCTAATGGGAAGAATTTGAAACAAAAAAATATAGGCGTTAAACAGGCTTCTTCAAAGCCAGCTTTATGCTATAATTTGTTGAGAAACTCCAGAATATTTAGTTATAAGAAATAACTGGGTACCAAAGATATCACAAGAGCCAAGCGGGCCGGTAGAGGTGCTTAAAAAGTATTAGTGTCCGTGAATAACCCTTCCCCTCCTCCAGTCTCTTTGTGACTTTGAAGGTTAAATTTATGAATGTTAAGTCTTATTTTCATGCTGAAATGTAAATCCTGGAGCTACTGGCTAAACCTAGTCCAAGAGAAGTACAGTTAAAAAATGCTTGAAGCACATTCTTTCTAAATGTCATTGAGATAATTACAAAGACTTGAACTCCTTGGTGATGAAAGGAAGCTCTTGTCTAGGGAGCTTCCAGCAGCTCTCAGAGGCCTTTCGCCAAGGAGAGGGAGTGCAATCTAGTAAAGCTGGCAGAGAAGTTTAAGTTGCCTGAAGCCACAGAGTTTCCAATTCTTGCTCCTCTAGGCAGAGGGAATGCAGAAGTGAAAGTGATGTATTAGCCATGCTACATGGTACTTCCTTCCACTGGAATGGAATGTATCAGTTGGAGTAAAAGTAAGGTTACTTTTAACACTTCTCCCAACATTAATACAGACATTCACACTTGAGAAATAAAATGTGTTTGAGGAATGAAAATTGCGAAGACAGGAAGTAGCATTATGTGGCTGACCCTCCCCAGTGTCTCTCTCTTCCTGGACTAGCTGACCCCAGTCATCTTTTTTTTTTTTTTTTTAATTTCTTTTCAGTGTTCCAGAATTGTTTATGCACCATACCCAGTGCTCCATGCAATACGTGCCCTCCATAATACCCACCACTAGGTCACCTCCCACCCAACCTCCCACCCCCCGCCCCTCCAAAACCCTCAGATTGTTTTTTCAGAGTCCACAGTCTCTCATGGTTCATCTCCCCCCCAATTCCCCTAACTCCCTTCTCCTTTCCATCTCCCCCGGTCATCTTAAGGAGAGCAGTGAGACTCGTTTTCCTGACCCCCACAAGACAATGGGACTCCGTGATATCCACACACTTCCATTCCACTACCCAGAAAGTTCATGCTGCTGCTTTGCAGCAAAATGATCCTGGCCCTTCCTTCCCTCCCAGTACCATCCTGCTGTGGCAGTAGAAGGAGGCGCTCATGATGTTCCAAGGCACCTGCATGCTCCCCTTCAGCGTGCCAGCACTGGAAACCCACTGGGCCCAGCTGAACTGGTCTTCATGGCTGTGGTTGTAGAAAGCCACCTCATTTTACATGAATCGCCATAGGTAATGTCCTATCTGCCACCAGCATGGAAGAGCCACCATAATCTGCTTCTGTCACTACAGATCCCCTCTCTATGGCCTGACATTTGCTTACTTATTCTCAGGCTAGTTTTCTTCACTGGAGTTTTGTCTTCTTTCCTGGCGTGGTGCATCCTTTCCTGTCAGAGCATTCCAGAGGGCAGCACCTTCCCCCTCAGCTAGCACACACACAAGAGCACACAGAGCTCCCTAGATCAGTGGTCCCCAAGTAACAGGTGCTGTGTGGGACAAAGAGAGCCTGGTCCCATGATTTTGAGGGGCATCAGGATAAAGTCAGTTTAATCCATCTCCTTAGGGAATCACCCAGCCCTTCCTATTGCTCATGTAAACTAAACTGTTCTCCATTGCAGCATTTCCCAAACTTACCTGACCATGGAAATTTTCTTCATGTAAAGTATGAGCCAAATGCACATTTTGGAATATGGGGCCCTAGACCGTTCTTGAAAATAAGCGTAAAAATGTGATGCAGGTCACTAACTGATTAAACAGGCTTCTCCTTAATTAGGCATCTGTGGGGTACATGGGTGTGGGTGCTGTGAAGGATGTGGACGAAGCAGGGACTCAAGTCCATGGTGGAGAGCTTGTGTGTGAATCAGAAGGAAGGGAAGATTAATCAGGGAGGAGAGTCAAGGCTGAAAATACAAAGCAGCCAGCAAGCAAATGGACAACACCAGGCGGAAACCCTGAGGAAGTCCACCACAGCCAGCAGCATGCCAGTGAAGGACAGCCCCAAGCCCTGAGTTTTCCCTCCTCTGCTGCCACTTAGCTCCTCACCATTTAAGCTTCCGTGGCCACAATTGCCTCAGCCCCAAAATGGCGGATAGTCCTGTCCTGCCTAATCTGTAAAGCTGTTCTGAGGAGTAAATGATAATAATTTGAGCAAAAGCCCGTTCTAAATTGTTCTTAGTAGCAGCAGAGTCTCCCTACCCTATTACAGACACTGCAAGCCATACAAAGAAACAGAGTCCTGGCCTCCCCGGAAAGAAATATTTGGCTTTGTTGAAGACCCAAGATGTATACATGTGAAATGAATATGAACGTCATAAGACTATGCAGTTTAAAAAAAAAAAAAATAGGCTATGCAGTTGAGGATAATAGAGGCCAGCAGGAATTGTTTGGAGAGTCAGTGGTGTTCTTCAAAATTAGATCTAATCTGTCATTTTAGGTTGAAGACCAACATTTCTCAAAGGAATGAGGCCCCCCTTTCATGAGGCTACATCAGTGAGAAATGGGAGATTAGGCAAAGCAGCAGGGTTGAGAATCTGATTTTTTTTTAATTGATTTTATTTGAGTGTAGGTGACACATGATGTTACATTAGTTTCAGTGTATGACATAGTGATTCAACAAGTTTAAGCATTCTGCTATGAGAATCTGGTCTTTAAACTTAGACAGATATGGTCTTAAACAGATACGGGTTTAGCCTTGGTAGTGCCTGGTAGCTCTGCAGTTTTGGACATGTCACTAAACTTCTCTGAGCCTCATCTACAAATTGGGAAAAATAGTATTTCTTATCTGTATTCATTAAATTAGATGATATCTGTAAAGTGGGGTGCACAGCCATGTGTTCAGCCATGAAAGATGACTGTAAGATGAAGGGTGCCCTTGAAAACCAGTCCAAGGCATTTGGATTTCCTTTGAGAGGCAATAGGAGGTCATTGTAGGTCCTTAAGAAAGGGAGTGTGATTTAGTGATGTGTTGAAAATGGTACTTTAGACTGATTCTTTTTACCTGTGAAGTGCAGAAAAAAATGACATGATCCTAAAGCATACCAGGCAATGGGCCCATACTAAATCTATTAAATTCTCCCCTTTACTGTCAATGCTCCCATCAGAGAGTTTTAGTGCAAATCTCCCTGTATGCAGCTGCATTTTTGGCTACAGGCATTTGTCTGTGTTCTCTCACCTAAGACCTGAACTGCAGAAGGCCCACGGTGGTGGGGGTGAGGGTGAACTAGTGTTAAACGTGGCGGCAGGGCCAGTGTGAGTGCCTGCTTTGCCATAAATGTTTGCACCCTCTCCCCAAATGTGTCCCCTCTCTACAAGAGGCCCCTTCAGCATCCATTCATACTGACCGTGTCCTATTACACTAGGGCAGCTGATACACACAAGTCACTGACGTGCCTGTGGTCATGTTGGGAGCTAAATGGGGCAGGGAGGAGACACCACCAGAAGCTATAAATTGTTTGCCACCAAATTCACTTTCAGCCACACTCAGCTAATCCCAGTGAGAGCTTCCCCCTGGCAGCAAAGCTATTTGTGTCCTGCTGTCCTGCTTTCTCTATTGCATGCATCTCCCATTACAGTATGGACTGGGTGTGCTCTTAGGATTCCTGGGTTCCCTTCCTCTGGAAAAGCCAAAATATAGCGAGGTCAGAATTTACATAGAACAACTTAGAGGTGCAAAATGATAACTTTTTGGTTTTTTTGCATCTTGCCCTGGTCCTTTTGGTACACAAAAACAAAGGAAAGACAAGTAGAAGGACAGACTCCCCATGAGGGGCCATAAGGGTTTCCCCTCCCATGCCTGTGTCCCTAGGGGGAATCCTCTCCATCCTCACTGCCTGCCCTGGGAGAAGGGCCCCAGATCCTTAAGCTGGCCTCCACTGAAATGTTGCTTGTCCTTCCTAGTCACTGAACACCTGGTGCTGGTGTTCTCTGAAGTGCAGTTGGCTTCATCTCTTTCGGGGGAAACAGCAGGCTGTCCATGATTCCTGCCACAGCTCTAGTGGTTGGTGCCCACACTCTGTGTCCTCTTCATCTTGGCTCCAGGCCCCTCTGGCCTATCAGAAGCTTCCCATGTCCAAAGCTATGTCTAGCCCCAGCCAGGGCCAAGACTGCCTGTTCCACTCCCCTCAGATCCTTACTGCAAGGGCTTATGCCACAGGTTCTCTTAATCTGGACCTCACTGTTGAAAAACAAATTCTGACACATAAAAGTAAGCTTTAGGAAATTATTACATTTTAAGAAAAGGGTTTTCAGGCTGAGTCATTAATCGGCTGCCTTCTGCTCAGGTCATGATCCCAGGGTCCTGGGATCAAGGCCCACATCAGGCTCCCTGCTCGGTGGGAAGCCTGCTTCTCCCTCTCCTGCTCCCCCTGCTTGTGTTCCCTCTCTTTGTGTGTCTCTCTCTGTCGAATAAATAAATTTTTTAAAAATCTTAAAAAAAAAAGGGGGGGGGTTTCTCCTACAAGGGAGCATGACTTGCTCTGGACTTTAACCAATCCAGATTAAATGCAAAGGTAAGCAATGTCTTCTTTGTTTTAAGCTAGAAAGTAGTCTCCTCAAACGATGGATGCCAGAAATTCAGAGGTGGGAGGCCATAGGGAAGGAAAAATCCATCACTTGAAATAGCCAAAGTATTTTCCCCATGTCACGCATGGTCACAAATAGGAAACACTCTGCCTAAAGCTTTACACTTACCAATATACTTCTTTTCTATTAATAATCACAGATGCTGGAAAAATGGACTTGTATTAGAAATCAACAGCATTTACTCTCTGTAAACTCATCAATTCTTAACCTTTTTCTGAGCCATAGATTCCCTAGAGACTTGTGGACCTCTCTCTGCGAAAAATGCATCTACACGGCATTCTGATTCAGGGCATTCCCTGGCTCTCTGGAACCAAACCATGGGGCAGAGTGTAAAACCTACAGTGTCCATGATTTGCTCTACGTTAACAAAACTGCATGCAGGAAAAGTTTCCATCGTCGTTTCCATTTCTGAAACATTTCCAGCAAAGTGGAATGGAAGCAGGTTGAGGATAGACTAACCAAGTCCAGCTACCAAAGCATACGCGGCACACAGAGCTCCTTTTGAAATCCTTCTCTGCCACTAAACATGCCATCCCCCCAAAATTATTGCTTCTGCTGTTAAATTACCATAACCTACTTGCCTTTACCACATTAATTATATATTAATTGCTTGTGATTATAGGTTCTACTTAGTCCCCTTTTTTAATCTCTTCTAAATTTTTCAGTCCTACAAAAAAAAAAAATGAATGTTTTAACACTCAGGGTCTTCATACTATTTCCCAGTTAACTTTCCTGGAATCCCATGTCTATGTACATATGAATAATTATAAAAAATATACATTGTGTAACAATCAAAAGTGCTGGAAATGGGTTCTAATGAAGCGCAGGAATATCCCCTTATTTTTTCCAAATAGGCTTCATGCTACTGCGCTGACATATAAGTGCCTTGGGACAGAAAACGGATGCCACCCCTGCCTCTTTGTGTCAGGCCAGTGGTCGCTACACACACTTTCTGCTTACATTTTCCTTTTGCTTGCAACCCATTGGTTTCCTGTTCGTACACCTAGGGGAGTAAGTGAAGATTAAAAACAGCCAAGCCTCTTTTAAGTGAGTCTAATAAAAGATGTTTTGTTTGTTGCCGGTTTTCTGCTTTTAGGCTGAACCAGCGTCTTCTAACAAGTGGCAGCTGGATAAATGGCTAAACAAAGTTAATCCCCACAAGCCGCCTATTCTGATCCAAAATGAAAGCCATGGGCCAGAGAGCAATCAATACTACACTCCAGCAAAAGAGGAAGTGCAGGACTGTGGGAAACTTCCCAACGTTTGCCAAACCAGCCTGAGAGAGAAGGACATCAAGAGCGCCTGCAAGGAGGAGCAGAGGCCAAGGACAGCGAACAAGGCCCCAGGGAGTAAAGGAGTGAAACAGAAGTCCCCTCCCGCAGCCGTGGCCGTGGCTGTGACTGCAGCTGCCCAGCCGCCCGCCGTGCCTGGCGCGCCTACCGAGAGCGTGCCCGCGCCCACCCGGAGGTCTGCGGGAAAGAAGCCCACCAGGCGCACCGAGAGGACCTCCACTGGCGACAGCACCAACTGCCACCGGCCTGAGGAGCCCGCAGCCGCAGACACGCTGGGGGCGAGCGTGGTGATCCCTCCAGAGCCCACCAAAACCAGACCCTGCGGCAACAGCAGAACGAGCCACCGCAAGGAGCTGCGTTCCTCGGTGACCTGTGAGAAGCGCCGCACGCGGGGGCTGAGCAGGATCGTCCCCAAATCCAAGGAGTTCATAGAAACAGAGTCGTCCTCTTCCTCCTCCTCCTCGGACTCGGACCTGGAGTCAGAGCAGGAGGAGTACCCTCTGTCCAAAGCGCAGGCCGTGGCCGCTGCTGCTGCCGCCTCCTCTGGGAATGACCAGAGGCTGAAGGAAGCAGCTGGCAGCATCAGCAGTGGTGGCGGCCCCCGGGCCCCTGTAGGCTCCATCAACGCCAGGACCACCAGTGACATTGCCAAGGAGCTGGAGGAGCAGTTCTACACACTGGTCCCTTTCGGGCGCAATGAACTTCTCTCCCCCTTAAAGGATAGTGATGAAGTCAGGTCTCTCTGGGTCAAAATTGACCTGACCCTCCTGTCCAGAATCCCAGAACACCTGCCCCAGGAGCCTGGGGTATTGAATGCCCCTGCAGCCAAGGATGCTGAGAGCACACAGGCAAGCCATCCATCCGACACTCCAGCCGAAAAGGCTTTGCCAAAATCCAAGAGGAAACGCAAGGTAGGCCTGGGGCTGAGGGCCTGGCAAGGGGAAGTGGGCTTTCCCTTAAGTTTTGGGGAAGTGTTGAAGCCCACAGGGAACACCGGTCTGCAGTGGACAGGCAGTAAGTTTTATGTGTGTCCTTACTCAACATCATTCCTCGAGTACTTCCTGTATGCCACATGCTTAAGTACCTGACATTGATTAACTCCGCTGAATCCTTAGAGCTGCCTGATGGGAGAAGCACCATTCATAGTCCCATTTTGTCATTATAGATAATTCAGCCCTGTCCAACCACATGGTAAAGCAGGCATATGGGAAATCCTTACCAAGAGTGTGCAGAGGTGAGCTGGATCCTGGGGCCAGTAGAAAGCTAAATATAAGGTGCCCCTCACTCTTTGCTGGAAGGGACAGGGTGACAGTGATCAATCACAGACCTAAAGCCAATAGCCTGACAGAGTGTAAGGCTATGACTGGGGTGAAGCAGGAAACAGGAGTCTCGGCCACCAGGCCAGAGGTGGACAGGCCAAGGGAGGGGAGCACTAGCCTGCAGCGTCCAAACCAGCAGCTGCTGCTCCCAGTACCCTCGACCAAGGAGAAACTCTGTTTTGGAGAGGGACTGGGAGCAAGGCCCTGAGGAGGACGAGCATGGAGCAGTCAGAGAGCCAGGGATGACATGGCACTAAAAAGGTCAACAGGGTGCACCAGGAAGGCAGGAAGTAAGAAAGGAGGCTCGAGTGCTGGGGCGGGAGCTCTCCATCTGGAAGCAGCCCCCACTATTTGCCATGTTTGCAGATTTTTGAGGGCAGAAATAACTTACTCATAAATTAAAGCCGATTTTGAGGAGTTTGGTCCCCTCCCATTACTGTTACCTTCAGAAGTAACTCGGGCTACAGCAAAAAACACACAGGTGACAAACCATAGATCTCACTATCATGGATAGTTCCAAATTGAGGACAAAATCATTCACAATAGTTAACATACCTATGATGTCCCCCTGAGGGATGCTACTCTAGGCACTTTGAACCTATTAAAGCATTCAGTCCTTACAACTTAATAGGCAAAGGTTTTTGTAATACATTTTACATATGAGGAAACTGAAGCTCAGAGATCCTGTAGCATCATGCCCCAGGTTCCCACAGGTGATAAGGGGCAGAGTCAGGAAGGAACCCGGAACATCTGGCTCTGGGCTCTCCCAATAAAACATTAGTCTGAGGGCTGTGTAGTACTTTCCCCACCAGCCCCTGGCCAGAAGGGCTCTATGTTTGGAATTTAATGCTTGAGGTTGCAATCTTGAAATTCATTTTATCCCTGATTTTGTGTTTTTATTTTTTAATTTTTTTAAAGATTTTATTTATTTGACAGAAAGAGAGATCACAAGAAGGCAGAGAGAGAGGGGGAAGCTGGCTCCCCGCTGAGCAGAGAGTCCAGATATAGGGGCTCTATCCCAGGACCCTGAGATCATGACCTGAGCCAAAGGCAGGTGCTTAACCCACTGAGCCACCCAGGTGCCCCTGATTTTGTGTTTTTAAGTGAAGTGCAATGGACGGGATGATAGGACCCAGGGTCGGGGGGAACGGTGTGGAGCTCTAACTCGCGTGTGGTCCCCCATCCTGCCTATTTCCACAGCACAGCTTCTGCCAGCCTTTTGGCCCCTTGGCACTCCAAAGTTTGTCAAAAGGCTTACAGGAAAAGTTTCCATCATCACTCCTATACTGAAACACTTCTGGCAACACAGTGTAAAAGCAGGCCCTATGCCGCCCCCTAGTCCCCATCTCCTTCCAGGGACCTGTGCTTCTCCTCTAAGCCCCCAGGGGCCAAGGTCAAGATAAGCATCTCACCCAGCCCTCATCCAGCATGTGAGAAGTCTCAGAGCAGGGGACTACAATCTCCCAGGGGTTGCGGGTTGGCTTTGGGTTGAGGAGTTGGCCATGGAAAGAGGAAATGTGGACTTCCCTAGCCCTATACACCTGACAGGCACGGGGAAACCACTGCTGGGCCTGTGCATGCGTATAGTCACGGGACTGGCCTGGGCCCTTCAGTCTGCCTCTGCCCACTACATATCCCCATGCCTGAAGGAACACGATATGAAATGGTAATTAAAACATCACCATGACAGGGACGCCTGGGTGGCTCAGTTGGTTGGACAACTGCCTTCAGCTCAGGTCATGATCCCGGAGTCCCGGGATCGAATCCCACATCGGGCTCCCAGCTCCATGGGGAGTCTGCTTCTCCCTCTGACCTTCTCCTCGCTCATGCTCTCTCTCACTGTCTCGCTCTCAAATAAATAAATAAAATCTTTAAAAAAAAAAAAAATCACCATGACAGATCAAGAGAGAGACTTTGACAGACAGGAAAATGTTTTCTACTTTAGTACTTTATAACATTACTCTTTTCCTGCTTTTTTCTTCAATTTATCTTTTGAGGCATAATTGACATAACATTATATTAGTTTCAGGTTTACAACGTAACAATTCAGTTTTTGTATGTATTGCAAAATTATCTCCGCAATAAATACAGTTACTATTCATCATTATACAGTTAGAATGTTTTTTTTTTCTCATGAAAACATTCAAGATCCACTCTCCTAGCTACCCTCAAATATGCAGTAAAGGATTATTAACTACAGTCACCATGCTCTGCATTACATCTCTATGACTTATTCATTTGATAACTGGAAATTTGTATATTTTGACCCCCTTCATCCACTTTGCCCTCCCCTCACCCTCCCCTCAAGCAACCACCAGTCTATTCTCTATATACCAGCTTGGGCTTTTTTCTTTATTTGGGCTTTGTTTTTAGATTCTATATTTGAGTGAGATCATACAGTATTATTTTCTGTCTGACTTATCTCACTTAATAAAATGCCCTCAAGTTCCATCCACGCTGTTGCAAATGGCAGGGTTTCATTTTTTATGACTAAATAATATTCCAACACACACACACACACACACACACACACACACACAGACACACACCTTACATCCTCTTTATCCATTCATGCATTGACAGACATTTAGATTGTTTCCATGTCTTGGCTGTTGTAACAAATGCTACAATGAACATGGGGTTGCATAATACCTCTTTGAGTTGTTGTTTTCCTTTTCTTCAGATAAATATACAAAGTGGAATTGCTGGATCATCTGATAATTACAGTTTTAATTTGGGGGGGAACCTCCATACTGTTTTCCAGAGCAGCTGCACCAGTTTACATTCCCACCATCAGTGCACAAGGGATCCCTTTCTCCACATCCTCACCAACACTTGCCATTTCTTGTGTTTGTTATTTTAGCAGTTCTAACAGGTGTGAAGTGATCTTATTGTGGTTTTGATTTGCATTTGCTTGATGATTAGTGATGTTGAGCATCTTTTCATGTATCTGTTGGCCATTAGCATGGTGTCTAAACATCTGTTCAGATTCTCTGCCCTTTGTTTAATTGGGTTGTGTTTTTGCTATTGAGTTGTGGGAGTTCTTTATATATTTTGGATATTAACCCCTTATCAGATATATATTTGCAAATATCATCTCCCATTCAGTAGGTTGCCTTTTCATTTTGTTGGTGGTTTTCTTTGCTGTGCAGAAGCTTTTCAGTTTGATATAGTCCTACTTATCTATTTTTCCTCTTGTCTTTGGTTTTGGTGTCAAATTCAAAAAAGTATCACTAAGACCTATATCAAGGATCTTTTCCGGTTTTTTGATCAAGAAGCTCAGTGTTTTCACTTTGCACTGAACCCTGCAAATTATGTAGTCAGCCCTGGCCTCCTAGAGAACCTTAATCAGGTGACCTTACCTTCTCTGTACTTCAGTTTCTTCATTTGTGAAATGGTGACATCTTTGCAGAGGTGTTGTCAGGTTCGGACCATATAATTCAGTAATATGGGCTACTTCTTTATCCCTCTTCTCTCCTGTTTCCCTCTAGATAAACTGCCCCCCTCATTATTTGTGGGATTGATGGGTAAATGGATAGACTAGTGGAAAGAAAGAGAAAAAATAGTTTTTTAAGAAATATGCATAGCTAGAAATTGATAAACATAGATTGGAAATACATATAGCATACATAAATAGATGTGCAGAAAGGCATATATATATATATTCCATAATATCCTATATTTAAATAATTTTATTATGGCATTTCTAAAAATTTTTAACTTATGAAACTTCATTTACACCAAGCCTGACGCCTAGCCCTCCTCCTAAAATCTAGTGAGTCATCATTAAATACAGACACAGAGAAGTGAAAGAACATTTTCATAACAATCTTCACTCAGTTTCTGGGGTGTTAATACCCAGCTCTGGGACGCCATAGACCTGGCTGCCAAAGGTTCAGAGTCTAGCCCTGGTAGGAACCCAGAGCAGAAGACTAGGGATTCAGAGCTTTGGTTTGGGGTCTCTTGGGGTCAGCTTCAGTGTAAGCATCTGGGATCCTGTGACAGAGGCTGTATGACAATCCCAGCTAGAGAGAGAAGGTCAAAGTCTTTCTATCTTTGAAGCCAGCACTTGCATCCTGGAAAACACTGCTGAAAGCCCTGAATATACTGTCACTGTGGCCGCTTTCTCACCAAAAATGGAACTTTGTTGAGTGTTTACATTGTACCCTAATACACGGATAAAAGTTAAACACAGGGCGCCTGGGTGGCTCAATGGGTTAAGCCTCTGCCTTCGGCTCAGGTCATGGTCTCAGGGTCCTGGGATTGAGTCCCACGTCGGGCTCTCTGCTCAGCGGGGAGCCTGCTTCCCCCTCTCTCTCTCTGCCTGCCTCTCTGCCTACTTGTGATCTCTCTCTCTGTCAAATAAATAAATAAAATCTTTTAAAAAAAGTTAAACCCAATCATGGAAATAAGAATTCCATTGAAATACTATTTTTTTTAAAGATTTTATTTATTTATTTGACAGAGATCGCAAAGTAGGCAGAGAGGCAGGCAGAGAGAGAGAGAGGAGGAGGAAGCAGTCTCCCTGCTGAGCAGAGAGCCCGATGCGGGGCTCGATCCCAGGACCCTGGGATCATGACCTGAGCTGAAGGCAGAGGCTTCAACCCACTGAGCCACCCAGGCGCCCCTGAAATACTATTTTTTAAATGTAAATTCAATTAACTAACTTATAGTATATCATTAGTTTCAGATGTAGTGTTCAGTAATTTATCAGTTGTGTATAACACCCAGTGCTCATCACATTCCGTGCCCTCCTTAATGCCCATCACCCAGTTATTCCATCTCCCCCCACCACCTCCCCTCCAGCAATCGTCAGTTTATTTCCTAGAGTTAAGAGTCTCTCATGGTTTTTCTCCCTCTCTGATGACTTCCCATTCTATTTTCCCTCCCTTCCCCTACAGTCTTCTTCCGTGTTTCTTATAATCCACATATGAGTGAAACCATATGATAATTGTCTTTCTCTGATTGACTTATTTTGCCCAGCATAATACTATTTTATAACAAAAGTTACATTAAGAATTCTAAGCTGTCATGGGGTAGAAATTGTTAGCTAGAATTAAGACACCAAGAGGTAACAACATTTGCTTGAAATTCATAAAAGCCATATATTTCAAAAAAAATGTCTAGGCTTGTCATTGTCCTTATGGCATTAAGCCCAGGTTATGGTAATTATAATTTATTCAGATACCAAGAAATGCTAAAATGAGAGACACTGGAGGTACGTGTGAATTCAGAAGAGGTCGTCTTTGGAGAGCTAAGTCAGATATATTGATGACAGACCAGTTTTCATCATTCACAGTGTTCCCTCTCTAATGTTGATCATGGTGTCATGCTTTTCCTCTCAATAAAATGTCAATAGTAAAACTGACAGATTTCATTCTTGTTGGTTGAGGAGCTGACCAGGAACCTAGAACAGGGATAGGAACGGTGCAACCACATTCCTGTTGGGATACTCTCTGGAGAAGCCGAGTAAGCTGGTCTCCTGGGAGCCCTTGCTCTGCAGAACGTTGTGGTGGGAGCTCATTATGATCCCTTGAAATCCAGAGCTGATTAGTTTTTGCTTATTTCCGTGCAGTGTGACAATGAAGACGACTACAGGGAGGTCAAGAAGGCCCAGGGAGAAAAAGAGAGCTCTTCACGACTGACTGCCTCTGCCAATAATACTTTACCTGCAAACCACTGCAGCATGAATATCAACAGGTATGCATGTTCCACTGAAGGTACAGGTAAGCCCAAAGGATCTCTGGGTCCAAAAGGCAGGTGCCATATTAGAGGAGAGTCAGATCTTTTAATGACTGCTCTGATCTGGGTCTTCAGACTTGTTTCCCTTGATTTAACTAACCTGAGGCTAACAATTAAGCCTGGATGTGTGTTCCTGTCACAACCCCAGAGCCACTGTCAGGACTCCTTTTTAACAAAAGACCGGTTACTAGTTATACTCATTCTGTGCTCTCAAAGACACACCTTCCCTCTGAAAACTCAGTAACTTAATTTTCAAACCATTATTTTAATAGCCACTAAACCCATAAGAACACTAAGCTTATTAACATGAATGAAAAAATATAAACTGAGTTTAATCTCTTGGATATAAACTAAAATCATGGCATTAGACAGGATCTGTGTGTGTCTCCAAGGTTAAATGGCACCAAGTCACTCCTCTAAAGGGGTTCCAGATGGACCCACATTGCACCAAATTCCCTCTCTGACAAATGGCTTTCTAGCAAGGCAAGGTCCCCAGTATTTATTAGAAGTGAGTAGCTTATCATCAGTCATAGACGCTCTTTCCATTTAGAAATACCACAGCTCAGAAACCACTTTTCCTCTGCTAAGATAGTCCTCACTCTCCCTGACTGTGTACATAGAATTTTTAAGGGGAGATTAATGTTTCAGCACAACACATAAAAATGTAAACTGAAAGGTTAGGAGAAGATGTAGAGCAGTACTAAACCTCCAAGAGGAAATTGGAGAGTGAGGGCACACAAGCACAGGCCCACTGCAGTGTGAGAGTCACCTTGGGAAGGAAGACGAGGGCTCTCGAAGGTCTGAGCAAGAGGGAGAGTACGCGTGTAAGCTGGCCTGGCCTAGCCCACAGTGCTCTGTGCTTAGTGGGTGGCACTGTGCCTAGTGGGTGCCCAGAATCCTGGGGAAATGTGAATAGGAGAAATGTGGCTCCAAAACGTCTTTTAAATATGTGATATAGTTGTAAACGTGCTTCTTTGTTAATGCACTGAAAACCTTTCTAGCAGATCCTAGTAACTGCCATAATATCTAAGTAGCGGCAAAGACAGATATAAGCAATATTTCAAGATGTCTGTAACCGCTGTGACATGACATGAGAATATCTGTGGTTTCCTGCTGATGACACAATCACAGGCATTGTTAGCACCACTCCCGCTAAACCACTACTCTGAAAATGTTCCATTTCAGTGAAAAGTTGTAACTTTTTCCCATCCACATTCACAGACCCCAGGATAAAAGCTCTTGTTCTAGAGCCTTTGTCTGGCAGAGCCTCTAGCTCAGATAGTTTTATTCATGTTACATAATTACCCGTGCATATAAAAGTGCTTCAGGTTCTTTCTAAGAAAGGTGATCTGTGCACCTCAGGAATGTATATAAGGGGATCAGCTATCCCAAAGATGAGATCCAAATAAAGTTGGTTTGGTCAACTTGAGTATGTAAACTTAGAATGATGGAGAAGAAATAATCCTATGTCCATGATAATGTTTAGTGTAATAATGTGGTTTTCTGTGAACATTTCAAACCACATAATACGTAAAATAATATTTAGAAATATGACTTTCTTTACTTACTTGCCAAGACACAATTATGTATAAACTGTTCACATCTACAACATCAGTGTTTTCATCATCCCTAAACCACTTTTGATTTGCCCAAGGGAGTTTTCCAGAACACATCTCACTTCTGGGTTGTTAGACACACAGTACTTTTTTTTTTTTTTTTTTTTTTAAGATTTTATTGTCAGAGAGAGAGACAGAGAATAAGCAGAAGGAGCGGCAGGAAGAGCAGGCAGAGGGAGAAGCAGGCTCCTGGTGAACAAGGAACCTGATGTGGGACTCGATCCCAGGACCCTGGGATCATGACCTGAGCCAAAGGCAGACACTTAAGCAACTGAGCCACCCAGGCATCCCCACACAGTACTTTTTGAACCAGAAATGTATCACCAGAAACTCTGTCCCTACCCAGATCTATTTGCATAACACAAAGAACCTTGTTATTTTAACATTAAAAACTTTGGCTTTATTATCTGTTCTAGAGGCCTGTGTTTGTAATTTCTACACTGTGACCACCAACTAAGGAAATTGCTTTTTGAAGTGACTTTAATGGCTTGTTTGCAGTGATAGCCAACACATGCAATTAAGAAGTAATAATTGCAAGACTAGAGACTAAGTCTTTGTTAAATGGATTTACCCTTTTTTAACTATCTATGTCAAGTGACTTCTCTGAGCATCCCAAATTAGCAGTGTTTGAGTTTATTTCAGGTTAATGTGTCTATCCTCATTTTTTTTTTTTCAGGGTAAAGTAATGGAGACAAGCCCATCAATATTAACATACATAGCAAAGATTCAAATATAGGTGACTCTTTCTTTGATGGTTAATTTTGGGGGAGAGTTATATTCAGGGATAGACAATAGTTTTATTCATTTGTTTGTGGGCTTTTTTGGTTTTAATTGAAGTATAGTTGACATACAATATTTTGTTAGTTTCAGATATACAATGTAGTGATTCAACATCTGTATACATTGTGAAGTGCTCGTCATGATAAGCATGGTCACCATCTGTCACCATCCAAAATTATTATTGTATTATTGACTTTTTATCCCCACAGCTTATTTATTTTATAACTGGAAGTTTGTACTCCTTAATCCTCTTCCCCCCACCCCCTCCTTCTGTCCAGCAACCACAAGTTTGTTCTCTGTATTTATGAGTCTGTTTCAGTTTTTTGTTTGTTCATTTGTTTTGTTTTTTAGATTGTACATAAAAGTGAAATTATATAGCAGTTGTCCTCCTCTGGCATAAACAATTAATTTTGGATGTGAAATAAGGAACTAGAAATCAGAAAATGTAACTTTTTTCCTAGAAGGGGTGAGGGGCAGAGGAAGAGAAAGAGAATCTTAAGCAGGCTCCACACCCAGTGCAGAGCCCAGTGCGGGGCTTCATCTCACAACCCCTGAGATCATGATCTGAGCTGAAATCAAGAAGTGGAAGCTTAACCAACTGAAGCACCCGGGCACCCCCGGCAAATGTAACTTTTAATGACAGTTTTCTGTTCTGTGTTTATTCTGATGAATGTTTGGTTAGCCCAGAAACCTAACAACTGAAAGTTGGCCTCACACTTTGCAGATTATTCTGTGATTCTGTTATTCTTCATATAATAATTAGTACAAGTTCAGATGTTATCAAAAGTCCTTTTACAGGTGGAGAACTCATATATCTTGTGATTGACTTTCCCATTACTTGCTACTTCGGCATGTTAGAAAAATAGTAAGTTGTTAAGTGTTTTGAGATCCTCAGATGAAAAACCCAGAAAAATGAAAGTCTTACTAGTGTTAGTCATTTAGCTCTAGAATTATTATTCATCCTAATAAGATGAGTAAGGAAACAATGAGTAAAATTTACTTATTGTTTTTTATGGTCCTAAGGCCATAAAATTACTTCCTGGTATAATAATTCCCAATAAACGCCTTCCTACCAGTAGATTTTAAATGGGAGGTTTGGGTCATATATAAAACATTTACCTTTCCCTGTGCTGACTGTGTGACATTCCATTACTGTGATTTCCTTTTTCAGCTTGGCAATACCAATAAATAAAAATGAAAAAATGCTCCGGTCACCCATCTCACCCCTCTCTGATGCATCTAAACACAAATATTCCAGCGAGGACTTAACTTCTTCCAGCAGATCAAATGGCAGTGGCTTGTTCACTTCTGCCTCCTCCAACAAAAAGCATAAGGCTGAGAACCAGCTGCAGTCTCACGCCGGAGACCTCACGGTATGTTGATTCTCTTCCTTTCCTGATAAAAATAAAAATGAAATTGAGCACACCTCTATACTCATCTGTCTCTAGCCTGGTACGGTCTAAACACATGCTTGAGGTCTCGTAAGAATCCCTAAATGCTGCTCTGGAAAGTCCAGGTGAACCAGCACCCCCCATTACTTCTTCCCACAGAGAATGACAGAAGAAGAAACCAGAGGAGACATTGTAAGCCTCTTCTCTGCTTAGGATGCCTCTTTGTAGGATTGCATTTCCCACTCTGAAGAGAAATGACCCCAAAGGATTACTATCTGGAGACACTGCAAATTGGGAGTTTGGGACCAACCAGCCCTTTCATTTGGGAAGATTCTTTGCCCCAGGGCAGAGTTAAATGTGGGACTGAAACTCTGGGCCAAAACTATGGGATTTCCCATTCCAAGTTCAGTGACAAGTGCAGTGGCCAAAATGTGGGACCAGGCTACCACCTCTTTTCCAGCAACTTTCCCAGGGGTGATTCCAGCTGCCTGTGTTGCCCTGGAGTAGTGCAGGGCCTGGGGTCCACAGACTGTCTAACCTTATATCTAGTCCAAATGTGACTTTGGCCAGTTGCTTCATCTCTCTGAGCTGGTTTCATTGGCAAAATGGTGGTGAGAAGATTTAAATGAGCTGGTATTATCTGAAAAACCGATACCTACAGATACCTATGTAACTAACTCTACATGTTAGTTCCTCTTTATGGCCACTCCTTCTAACAGCTGGTGGCTCTGGATCATACATCCTGTGGGGCACATCCTCCCAACTTCTCTCACATCACCACCATGCTGTCAATACCAGCAGGGCTTTGTAGGGAGAGAGATGAGGCATGAGAGAGATGAGGAGAGGCAGGGAGAGAGATGAGGCATGAGAATAGGTCTCTGCAAAGAAAGATGGGGGAAGGCAGTATTTAATGTTCCATCCCATGAACTACAGAGGTAAAATAGTTGGTAGAAGGTCCGGCAAGAGCCAAAATCTTGTAACATCAGGAAATTAATAACTAGCTGATGCACCCTTATTTGAGAACAATTACCACTAATTCTAGGCTCAAAGAGTCTAAGACCTTACTAAAAAAAAACTGGAATAAAAAAACTACCAATTCAAATCAAAACACAAACGTTTCTTTACCACTAGATCCTAACATAAAAGCAACCATGATGTCCAGAGAATTGTAAAATAATTACAGACTTTATTCAGTCATTCTTTCTTTCACCAAACAGATGTTTATTGAGCAAGCACTTAACTGTGTGCCAGGCACTGTGCCAAGCAATAGAGATCCACTGATGATGTAACAGATTTATTCTGTGCCTGTGGGAAGCTCACAGTCTGGCTGGGCAGAATGACATAGACAGGAAATCACACACATTGGTAATGGCTACCATGAGTGCCAAAAAGGAACGCAGAGGCCTGGGGGCTCCTTCAATCAAGAGGCTTGACTACACATAAAATCAGTCCATATTTAAAGAAGCATTCATACACACTCAACACATTTTAATTATTTCAGAGGAAACCGTTTGAATTTTGTAATCAAACTTGCTTTATGATTCATGGGGCTAGCACACAATAGGTGCTCTATAAATATTTGAATCTCCAGGGAATGTGATTTCTTAATTTTCCCACAGATCAATAGTGTTCCTTTTAAAAACACATTTTAAATAATTTCTAGTTATTCCCTTTGCCTTTTTCTGCTCTTCACGGACAGCTCATGAGAATCAGTCCATTTGTGACCTGAATGACTTCTCTTTTGAGAGGGATTATAAGCCAGCAGTTCTGAAAGCTTGGTTCCTGGATCAGTATCACTTGGAAATTGCTAGAAATGTGATGTTCTCGGGCCCCACTCCACATCCTAAATTCAGCTCTGGATGAGTGGGGGTCCAGCAGTCTGTGTGTTGACAGCACTCCCCAGGATGATTCTAATGCAGACATCACCTTGGAGAACCACTGGTCTCCAACCACTGGTCTAGCCAACTGGGAAAAGTAGGGGCTTAAGTCCTAAGCCCTGGGTGTCACCCACAGTAATTATTTGAACTTGGGGAAGTTTCTTAACTTCAGCCAGCCTCAGCTTCTGGATCTGTGAGTGTGGGTCATTAAGAACTTCCCTTCTGATACTGTTACAAGAATGCCATTTAACAAGGCATGCAGAAGCCCTCAGCATGAGAACTGGAACACACATATTTCTTTTTCTTTATTTAAACTCAAGGGATCGTCAGTTCTAACCTAGAACACAAAACAGTGGGTTGCCCTTTCAGCCAGGTTTCTGAAAGACTGGTGTGTTGTTTTTTTGTTTAGAAGGCCGCTCACAACAATTCCGAAAATGTTCTCCACAAGTCACGGCCACAGACAGAGCCATGGTCTCCAGGTGCCAATGGCCACAGGGACTGCAAGAGGCAGAAACTTGTCTTCGATGATATGTGAGTGTGGACTCTTTGTTGATATGGTAAGGGGCAAGGTAAAACAGAAACTCCACGGGTAGGAGGGTTATATGCATGACTTGGTCAGGTGAGTGTTGCTTTCTCAAAGGGAACTGGAGCTTGACTTTGAATGCACCTCTGAGTCCTCATGGGCTTTTTGAACGGCTACAACAGCCAGAGCTACTGGGGTTGCATCCAAGATGTCAGGAAGCTAAGGCAAATGGCATTCATGAGCCATTGAGCATGAGCCTTACATTCCTGAGCATTTTGGGCTGTTGGTGGTTGTATGCTACCAGAAAGAGAAGCATTTTTGTTTTAGTAAATTATAATGGGCAAAGAATAATAGCGATGCACTCCTGGTTTATTTCCTTCTAAAATGCTATATTCTTTATAGCATAAACAGGTCTTAAATGGGAAAATAAATATCTTGTCATCCTTCCCAGCCCTAGCCCTTGAAAGCCCAAGTATTGCTTCCATTCCCAGCATCAATTTAAAAGAAGAAGAAACAGGAGAAGAAGAGGAATAAAAATAACATCCTGGGAGGCTCTTGAGATTCTGAAAATGATAAAGGAGAAGTGATAAAATGATACTGGAAATTATTTAGGCTCTTAAGGAAAATAAATATGTGTCCAGGACAAGTCTGGAAGACAGAAGATACGGTTTCAAGAGTTTGGCTTGAATCCTGGTTTTGACATTAACTGTTTAACACACATCCAGTGCATGTCTGTGTGGGCTCCCCACTAAATCCCAGAGTGGAACAATGTGCAGCACTGAGTCATCCTGTCCTCTCCTTGCTTACAGTCTGAGGGGACAGACTATAATCCACTAACCCCACCCAAAACTGGAAAAAGTAAAGGGTGCCGAATGTCTTCGACCTTACTGGGAAAATGGTAATCATGATACCTCTCTCCCAGAGGTTCTCCTAAGACCCAGTTAGATGAGATCTCCTGAGAGTGACCATCTGGGCAGAAGTAATGATTCCTTCATCCCCATCTTCCACCCAACCTCTTCTCCGGCCCTGACTTCTCCCAGGGTATAGACATACTCTATTTATTCACCCCATAGACATCTCAAGAAATGAGAATATGAAGTTATAGTCCTGAATTTATGCTTGGACTTCAGTGAACTAATTAAGGGCACAGAATTGGGGAGGTGAAAGCCAAATCCACATTTTTGGTTTGTTCCACTTACTGAATGCATTCAAAGATAATTGGATTTATGGAAGTTTAAGGGTGGCCCAGGAGGGCGAATGTTTTTCTCTTCTTCCCATGGTGGCTACAGCTGTACTCAACCCCAGCACACTCTTCTGGCCCTCACCACCTCGCCTTCTCTTGGTTTCTCCACTGCCCTAAGCATCAAGTGAGGGAGGTGGTAATTAATCCCTGGGGTGGGTGCATATGATGGGAGGACAGTCCCTCGGTAAACCACATATATAATTAGGGTTTGGTGGTATAAATCATTCTCATGAGCTCTAACAATTTGTAAAAACAGGAGATTAAAATTGTGTCTGATGACAACATGGCAGTTTGCATTCAGAAGCCGTAATCTAACAATGCGATCAAACACAATGTGTATTAGACCCTAAAGTGCTTAAAACATCCAACATTTCCAGCAGGTGATGTTAAAGGCATGATATTTAAACATACACACAATGGTATCACATATATTAATACAATGATATTAAACATACATATGAAAAATTTACATATAAGAAATTTTCCAGTATATGGACCAAAAAGCTAAGTCAGAAACAGTGACAACTAAATGGCCATACTCTGATCTGCAGTTTCTCGGACTACTTACAAAAGGAAATGTTTCTGAATCTGCTGGGGCTATTGCGAATATAATTTTTTCACTTTCTGTGTCAGCAAAGCTAATGTCTTCCCATTAGCAATATGTATAATTTTTCTGGCTGACAGCTCCAATAAAACTGTTTCTCTTTTTACGGATATAGATATAATGGAATAAAAAAGCACTCTTACATATCCATCATATGGAGAGATAGATGTCATGTTCCAATTGCCATGTGTCCTAGTTGATTTGAAATCCTTAAGAGTAAAGTAAACATGCAACTCCAACAACCAGTCGACCACTGAACTAAGAAAGTCTTGGGAAGACCCATGAAGCTTGAAAAGCAAAACTAGGCATTGTCTCTTCCTTAAAACAATAAAAATCCATGTCCCTTAAGAGATGACTGGACTAGGAAGTCACCCAAACTGATGCAGAATGTCTCCCAGGTCCAGTTCATACGTGCTGAATATTTTTACTAAGGGCTAGGTACATTGGCTAGAGTTAAGATATGAAATTAATTAATCCTCAGTCATTAATTCAGGGCATAGGGAGGCACATGGCTGGCTTCTCCAGGAAGGTGCCTTAGGACCCCAAAATTTCCACCTCCTGCTCCTCTCTGTTCTACACCAGCTTCCCCACCAGCAGCCTCGTTGACAGACAAGGACCTGGCTCATGTCACTTTCCTCGACTTCTCCTCACTAAAGGCGTCCACAAGCAGTGAACCAACCAGACAAGCCACTAGTGGGAAAAAAAAAAAAAAAAAAGAGCGAGCTAGAGAAATCGCTCAGGAGTAATTTAGAGTTGATGGAAATCCAGTTACAGTGATCCAAAAAGGAACAGATGCCACACTGTCATTTAATTTTTAAAGCTGCATCATGTAGCTTCTAGATAAAAATAAACTCATCCTTTTGTATTATAAATACTGGTTAATGGTTGAATAAACATGCGATTCAGACAACAGCTGAATTCAGTGGGTGCTTAATAACTAGTGCTGAATGAACACAACTGAATTAGAATAACATTCCCAGAAGAGTAAGGCCTGCAGTTTTTCCCCCCAGTGGATATAAGGAATCTACATGCAGGTAAATTTAAATTCACGGCTTCTCAACCCCTTATCCTATGTTACTACCAATTAAACAGGCACCAGTTTATGTCTTCGGGATGTAGATGGAACCAAACAAAATAACACTTATTTTTTAAAAATGTGATCCAGGTCAGCTTGTTCTGCGTAATTTGCAGGCCCAGATTGGTGGCAGAGTGGCTGCACCTCCCCGACATTTAGCCATGCTCGACATTCACTACTTGACAGCCACGGTTTTAAGGTGATGCTGGTGTGATTGCCAAACTTTTGTTTAAAAAAATCTGTAAGAATTTATGTCAGTAAGTGACAGCACTTGATTCAACTCAAAGCCTAGAAACTGATCTTATTAGTGTGAAGCCATGAGCTGCAGATTACTTTGTGTCATAATTAGTGACAGGGGAGTTCTTGGCCCAGGAACATCAAGAGAGAACAACTGTGTCGTGAAGGCCTCAGTACAGAAGTCCTGAGCAGAGCTGAGTGGTGAAATGCTTGGCTGGGAAATCAAGTCCCCTTTCCCAGCAACCATATTGCTGTGTTGGGGAGCCAGCGAATCCTGAATGCCAGACTGCCTGCTGCTCCCAGAAGGATGTACTGTCTCCTGCCCATATTTCACAAGGAAGAGTCAGTCACGATCATCACATTCAGCACAACTACCAAACATTCCATCTGTCCCTGTGGCACCCGTAACAGGAGCCCAGCTACTTAAACCCCCCGACAATGAGAAAAAACTCCCTCAACCACGTGGTGCTGAAGGCCATGGAGTGTGAAATGTGGCTGGGAAGGAAGAAGGAATGGCATTTGTGATATAATTATGCTCAGCAAATCTATAGCTGAAAGGATTTGATTTTTTAGAGGATAGGAAGAGTCGTGTACGTAAAAGGTCAGATCTCTTGTGGCATGATTTAATCAGAGGACTCTGAAATCCTTGAGGTGATAGTACATTGGGGCAGGTGCTCCCACGGAGGGCTTACTATGGCCATTGGTTTTTTCCTGAAGGTCCCCCTTCTCCACCTTTCCTGGTAGACCATTACTACACCTTTTTTTTTTTTTTTTAAGATTTTATCTATTCATGTGTGATAGAGAGAGAGAGTACACAGAGGGAGAGGGAGAAACAGACTCCCTGCCAAGCAGAGAGCCTGATGCGGGGCTTGATCCCAGGACCCTGAGAACATGACCTCAGCTGAAGGCAGATACAACCAACTGAGCCACCCAGGTGCCCCCCCATTAGTACACCTTTATGTTCTTCATATGTAATTCTCTACTTTATGAGATCCTGGTCTCTCAGCCAAGTTATTTTGTTCTAACTGAAACAGAGTAACAGAGAGAGAGAGAGAAAAGGAAAAAGACTAAGCTTAGGGTGGTGGGGAGTAGTGAAGGACAATGCCTTCAGACCTCCCTGATTGAAATCTTAGTTCTCTGATCACTTTAAGAGTTTTGTAAAATTATTTTATTTTAAATGTCACACCCAGAGAAGAACAACAAGGTGATGAGTTTCCATTTCAGTAGAAAATGGCTTTTGACTGAATGACGAAAACCTGCAACACTTAGCCTGTGCATCCCAGAAAACATGCTGTTTTCTGTGAGTGACCAGGAGAGAAGCAGTCATGGGCAGGAGCCTATGGCCTGCATGAGACGCAATGAGTGATCACTTGGCTTCTGAGAAGCCAGACTCTGGAGACCCTGGGGCCCCAGCCAGCATCAAGCTAATGGAAACCAAAAGTGCATTTGAATCCTTGGGGCTTAAATGCAGTCTACCTGCTTCCTTCCAAGAAGCACTCATAAAGTCAGTCCCAGCCTGCCAGAGACCCTGACTCTGAAGTGCCCTCCTAAATCATGTTCACTTCAGTGGATTAAAAAGAATTACAGTTTCCTCTACTAGCTAAAGGTAGAGCATTCATATGAAACCATTTGTAAGCCAAATTGTGTAATGCAAAGAGTATCCCAGCTTTCCGAGAGCTCACCTTGCACTATTACTTCACTTGGAAGAGAGACCTACCCTAGTACAGTAAGGCTTTTTTTTGGATACATTAAGATCCTCTCCAGATTAGCAAAAACCATTCTAGGTCTTTCATAAAAGCCAAGTGGCTTGTACCGCAAACTTTGAGAAAGCAGGGGGTTGCCTGTACCTAACTTCTTACACATTCTTCTTTGTGAAGAAAGTACTTCAAAGCTGAGGGACACAGTAATACCCATGGGATTTATCAGATGACAAGCTGACAGGATCTCGGATGATGAATTCATTTGGTATGCAGTTGCCTATCTGTCTGCTTTGGACTCCAACTTCTCTAAGAAAATTATCCAGATTTCTGCTGTGCCAAGGAACCTGTTTGTTCAAACACATTGAGCTCCCATCCCTGCCAGTTTTCACAAAACAGGCGGCTCTGCTGTGGGGGGAAGAGAGGGAGGGTGAGGTGGGGGGTGGTGTATCTCACAGAGGTAGGAATTACAGAAAGAAGGCTGCCAGCCTCTCCGTGGGAGACCATTCAACTCTATCTCAGCCTTGGAGCAGAACAAAAAGCAAGGTAGCTTTAATGCTTCTCTGCCAGAAGAAATACCAGGGTGGCTCAAACCTTGTTGCTGCTCAGAACTAAGGCTGCGTGTTTATAGGTGGGTTAGTAGGAGGGTGAGGAGAGAAAAAAAAAACATTCTATTTGGATCAAGTGTTGAGATTTTTTTTGTTGCCGAGAGCTCTTACAACAAAGATACACATGGCTAAGCCTTGGCTTTTAAAAAGATCACTCACAAGCCCCATTTCTGAAGAACCAAAGATACACAGTCAGTTACGTGTATGATGTTTAATTGAACTTCTGTTAGGTTTATTGATGTATCATCATAAAATACCATCACTGTAAAAAAACAATATGAGGAGTGTTATTATCTAAATGAAAAAAGAAAATTTGAGGCTTTTCATGTTAAAAAAAAAAAAAAGATTGGCTCACAGATCTGTTTGAACACTGAAATAGATTTTATTGTAGTAAAGACTTGGCCAAGTTATAGTCTGTAACTGCCACAGTGATGATGACAGTTCTGCATCCCTCCTGACTTTTACATTGCCGTCAGAGTGATGCCTTCATGATAGCATGCGCCCACTACACTACTGGACAGTGTTGGTGGCGTCCCATTGGCCCCACTGCCTCTGTAATGTTCTGGTCTAGGAGCGGGGCGCTGGAAATCACCTGAAAGGAGGAAATGAGCCAATCATCTGGCAATCTTCAGTGACTCAGTGTAGTGAGCCCTCCATTACATGCGAAGATAAGAATTCTAACTAATGTGTTTGTAAATGGCCTCTGGATGGTACACTTTTTTCCCAGCATCTCAGGTTAGTGTCAGCTGCTATGATACAGTCAGAAAATTAGATGTGTTACTTATCCATGTGCACTATTATGAGAGTTTGTGACTCACCCTCTGTATCAGGTCTAAAAAAGTACATTCATAGGCTGCAGATAAGAACAGTGGTGATTAAGGAACATGTATGAGGAATTAGGAGACACTACCATCCCTAAGGGTAAGTTAGAAGCCTAGTTGAAACTAAGATGCCATACCTTATTGCCGGGAGAATCCTTTCATGAAAATGAAGTGCATTTGAAATGATGATCTATTAGTGAAAAGGTTTGCAAAACCAGGCAAAAAAGATTGACCAAACTCATATACTAGCGTGTGGAGTCGATAATGATGTGGAGAATTTCAAGTTGCCATGGAGACGTTCTCTGGCTTATTGGCTGTGATGCTGCACCCCATCAGAAGCCACCACTCTCTTCTAAACTCAAAAATGAATTCAGTGCTATTCAGGGGGGATTCATGGACCTTCTGCCATGTGCCTAAAACTATAAGGTGGAGAAGATCAAAGATGTCCACAGCATAGGCCCTGCTGAAAGTATACCAGCTACAGAGCTGCCCACAGGCCAGGACTTAGCCAAACAGCTCAGGAGGTAATTAAATGTCTAAAAGTGTAATATAAACAGGAAGGGGCATCCAGGAATGACAGAGATGAGCATGGATCAAGTTACCAAGAAGATCTCATGGCATAAGAACTTGGGGGAGTGGTAACTCATAGAAGGCACTCAGTGAATGTATACGCAGTGAGCAGAGTGTTCCAGGTGGGAGGAAAAGGATGAGCAGAGAGGTTCTAAGACAGAGATGGCATGTAAACACCACAGCAAGGAAGACACCCATTGCTGTGGTTGAGGGCTTTGGGGAGTCGCTGGTACAGTTCACAGGTTAGGCAAGATCTTTGAACTGAGATTGATTCTTTGGGAGCTGGAGATTGATTGTTGGTCTGTGAGTAGGAGGGTGATGTAATGAAAGCCATGTTTTACAAACACAGTCAAGGTTTGTTAAAGCTTAGGATAGGTTGGAGGGAAGCAAAACTGGAGGGCAATAGAGGTGATGAAAGCCAGGCCTGGGTGGTGGATGTGGTCCATAAGGAAAGGAAGGATCTTTACAAGGAGAATGCACTCACAACATCTGATAACAGGGAAGAGGAATGGATGAAGATACTGGAACTCCTCTTCTGAGCAGATAGGCTCTGTGAACTCATCTGAAGCTCAGGAGTCAGGTCTGGGTGTGGGCTAGAGGTAGGGTCTGCCCTTCTATGCTGGGACATTTAGCAAAAACACAACAAAAAATAATGGAAAGGATTCTTAGGACAGTGCAACTATTCTCTGATACTGTAATGGTGGATAAACGTCATTATACATTTCTTATACCCCAAGGAATGCACAAGATCAAGAGTGAACCCTAATATAACTATGGACATGCCATGGGAGGTTCATCAGTTCTAACTAATGTGCCTCTCTGGTAGGGGATGTTAAGGAAGGTAAGAGAGGCTGGTGGGAGAGGGGCAGGAGGTATATGACAACTCTCTATACTTACCATTTAATTTTGCTGTAAACCTAAAACTGCTCTGAAACATGAAGTCCATGAAAAAACAAAGACAATAGCAACACGTATTTAAATTTCAGAATTGGAGTCTAAGACCTGTATTCAGTATGTGTTCAAAGGTCAATGCATTGGCAGGGAAGGGAAAACCACACGTAAAGTCAACTAAAACCCATTCAAATGGAAGAAGTGTGAACATCTAGGAGATAAACCAGAGAAACAGCCAGTAGGAGCAGGGCCTTCCTGTGAAGGACACCTCAGGCCCCACTGCCATGGAGACCCCCACTCCTGAGATGAGGGAAAGGTTTCAGGCCTAATGGCAAGAATGATAGAGGGATGGTAAGCCAAAGACGGGGAGTTTCATTTTACACATTAAGGAAATTCTGTAACTATGTTCCTTATTTCTTTGTTGGAAAAGTTAAATATTCTCAGCACATTACCACAGTAATACAATGTTTTATGGGGAAGTAAAAGAAAACCAAGGTCCTTTTCTCACCTCCATGATTTGCACTTGAAACTAAATGGTTTGTTTATTTGTTTAATTGATTAAAACCATTAAGATGAGAATAAACTTCTGGGATTGTCATGGTGCACATGGCATTTCCAAGCATTTTTGATAATCCCCTTTGAGTAAAAGGATGCTCTGACCACCTAATATTGCGGTAAGGGAAAAGACCTATTAGAATCTGAAAGAAGAGAGTTCAGAATAAGCATGTAACAATAGGTGAGTCATTCTGTGATTAATATCACTATTTACATCTTACCCCTCATTTGGGGAGTCCTGGCTTATATTGGATATTCATGAATAGGTCAAGTTTAATGATTATATAAAGACCCATAATATAAAAAAGTATATGCAGATCGTACCTGGAGTATGCAGATTTTTAAAAATCTATCAGACTAAGCATAAAAGGTACTGTCTGATGAGTAGCTTAGCATAACTTGGAGTCATTACACACACTCGGAGTCTCTGTATGAATTATCTTCATCTCCCAGCAGAGTTAGTGCTGGCCAGGGTTATTACTTTAATAATGCACATGTCTGCTGTTAATGTTTACCAGCTAGCTAATCAGAACTCTGGAGAATACATGCCATGTTTGCATTGTTACAAGGTAGACATCGCTTTACAATTAACTTCATTACAACTGGAATATAATGATACAGTATTACCTCTTTTCATGTTCCACGGGGAAACCCTAAAATAATTATATATAGATACATGCAACTGTATTTATGCATATAAATGACATGTACTTTCATAAGAATACGTAAACATACTCATCCATACATATCCATACAGTTATTATGAGGTATATTTATGATCTTTACATTAAAAAGGGATTGTTGTATACAAATATCATGTAAAATAAGATTTTTTACTTATTTTCTTAACCATGCAATAAGAAATCTGATTCACAAATTAGGCACTGGGGAACCATGTTAAAATCACTATAAATGTAAACTATCTGCATATATTGAGTGTGTTTTGAATAGCTAATTTAAGAGAAAAAGAATTGTGATATTTCACATATACACAGTAATTTGGGAATGCAAGAGTGCTTGATTCTATATTAAACAGACTTTGAAAATTGTGATTCAAGTTTGAGTAAAAGGGAAGAATATTTTCAAAAGATATTGCGCTTACACAATAATGGCATTTAATATTCTCTCCTGTAGGCCACGCAGTGCAGATTATTTTATGCAAGAAGCTAAACGGATGAAGCATAAAGCAGATGCAATGGTAAGACCCTTTTCTCTCCAGATATGTTCTTCCAAATTATGTTTGTACTGCAGCTTCATCACTGGGACCATATAGCTGGGGTAATTATAAAATCTATTACAAGGATGGCTGGGTCTGTTAAATGGAGAAATGTTTATATAATCAAGTGTTCATAGCCCAATAAATTATGACTTCAACCAATAATGTCTGACTGGGAGAAAGTCCTGGATAAATGAATGTTTCAATTTAGTTCTAAGGTTTGAATAGTAACTAGAGGCAATGGAGTCAGTGGGTGGTAGTATTTTGTTCCTTTAAAAAAAAAAAAAAAAATCTAGGTTTGCATTTTTCTTTCTTATTAGCCTGGCCAGCCCTTGGCTTGGTCCCAGGATCAAATCCCTTTTCAAAAAGACTCCTGTTCTGCCTGTGTATCTGCCAAAATTAATACTTCCTCTGAAACTGTATAACATAAAAACTATTATGCTACACATAAGACCCTAAAGTCACCATGACTTGATGTTTTAAAAAAAAAAAAAAAAAAAGAAACTTTTCTTAGTTAGATAATCTCCTGTTTTGGAAAGCTTGACTCTTCCAGGCAAGACATAGAAAACTTCTAGCTTTTTCTAAGAGCAATCACATGGTTGTTCCATCTTACGGTCTCCTCCAAAGAGACTCTTTTCTACCTAGTAATTCCAGTTCTGTTCCCCTCCAGCATTTCTAACTGGCATTAGGGTGCCAGAGATGAATAAGGCATTTCAAATGCCCTTCAGGGTATTATTCCAGTGTTGAAGATGCTGAAACCAGAAGCGTACCCCTCCCAGTGCTAGTGATGTTGCCAATCAAACATTTATTTGTATGAAGATCTCTGCCTAGGGACACGGGAGTGCAGGGGAGATAAGCAGAGTTATCAGAAAATAGACAAAGGAAATTGAAGGTCCAGTTCTTCTCCTCACAACCCCACAGTATGGTGGAGAGTTCTGGTCACCTGAAGAAGCTGATGCGTAGTCACTATTAGAGAAGAACACCGAATGTTAAAGCAGAGTGGAATTTTCCTCCTGAATCACCCGAGGTTTACCAAGATCGTTCTTTCTGTGTCGTGTTACCAAATGTGACCTTGCCTATCAACATGCTGTTCCATCCAGGCTGATGCCCTCCCAGCCTCTGAGCACACCTCACTCATCCCAGCGCAGGCTCCTGCAGCCACAGAGCCTCACACAGACACTCACAGCTACTCACACCTCCAGCTTCCTCACCAAACCCAGCCAAATCATACCCATTCCTTCCTACTCTCATTTTCAGGTCTCCCCCTGAGGCCTCCCCAGCCTCTCTGAACCCCTGACTTGCTCCCTTCCTACCATCTCTTTGCATTGGGCTTTTGGCTTTGCATTTTCTCAGTTAATCACAGACTGCCTTGTACTTTGAACTATATTGTGGGTGCACAATATACTTCTCTTCAGATGTATTCTGGGTTCCTGGAAGGAGCTTTTGTGTATCAAGTGCACACTGTACAGAACTGGGTGCTGTAGAAAATACTTGTTGAATGAAATGACCTCCTTAGTCTGAAAGCACTGCCAAGAAATATTTCTCTATGGCCTATTAGGGTTATAAGCTGTTTAAAAACTTGGTTTGCCACGGAGGGAGGGTTTTGCTCTCCATTGGTGTTTTCTACAGTATCCATTATGAATGAGAATTGTTTTTAGAGGCAAGACCTAGTATAATAGAGTCTTTGTGTAATTCTGTTTGTGTTGATGAATGAGTATGTGAAAACTGGGAAGATTATACAATCCGAATTTAGAATATGTAATTACCACAGAGAGTAACAATATATGAAAGTAGGAACTTGATATGTAAGTTCAGATTTATGAGAACCAAAGAATATGACGCTGATTTTCAGATATCCTCACTGATGTGGGAGGAAATTAACATAAATTTGGACAACTTGAGGTAATCCCCCAAGTTTTTTTTTATTTAGCATAGCATGGAGGGACAAGGATGGAAGTTGCCCAGCAATTATGGGTTAGAAGGAGAGAAAGAGAAATTAGAGCAACCATGTAGCTCTGACCAATTCTGATTGGCAGCTGTTGTATGGATTTGGGACATAGCTGTCTGTAACCATTCATTCACTTACCCTAAGCCAGCAGCAATTTGTGAAAATAACTGGAGAAGGAAGCATCCTATTTCTTTCTTCTCTTGGCTCCATTCACAGGATTTTGGAACTCAAAGTCGGGTTTCTCAAATAAAGCATATAGACTATGTGACAATGCTGTTTAAAAAAAAAAATTATACTTAGGGAAGACACTCTATTAACTCTGTTGATCAGGTGGAAAAGTTTGGAAAGGCTTTGAACTATGCTGAAGCAGCTTTGTCATTTATTGAGTGTGGAAACGCAATGGAGCAAGGCCCGATGGAATCCAAATCTCCTTATACAATGTATTCGGAAACAGTAGAGCTCATCAGGTAAGCCCTTTATCATGTTGGGGAAGTGGAGGGGGTAAGGAACGTATGTCAGTACTCTGAATACAGAGAAAAGAATCCCAGCCTTCACCATCAGCTACCAGGAACTAAGGTTCATCCTCACAAAGAGGAATGTAAGATTTTGCAAGGCACTTTAACACACCCTGCTTCCTTTGCTTTCTTTGTGAGTGAGTAGGAGAGCTCTTCTAACCCTCGATTGCTACAGAAAGGAAGCTGAGTCCAAGTGAGATGTGACATGCCTACCTCACCCAGGTGGGAAGTGGCAGATTTTGAACTAATTTCACCTTTATACTGCCTTTAAAAAAAAAAAAAAAATCTGATTCAGGTTAGTATCATAAAACTCGTAACTCCATCAGTAAATGATTCAGGAGTTTTCAATGAGAGAAAAGATTCAGGGGTATTTTAGGAAAGGAAATCCCTCCAGTGATATGCTGTCTCAGAGGATACTGATGTTTTGGTCTTAGACCTGAATAGGAACACCATCCCTCACCTGGGCTGAGACATGTAATGTGAACAGAAGCAGGGTTTCTAACATGGGCACATCAAGGGATTGGATGGGAGACTCTTGTCTTCCTTCTTGGAGACCCAGAAATACACATCTTTAATGTGTTTTTAATGAACCCTTAAGGAAATCTCATCCATGAACCATACTGAGAACCTTGTCATACAGTTTATGTCTCTAGTTAATTCAACTGCTTGGATAATATTTAATATCCACAGGTGAAACTATTCTTCTCCAAAACTAACTTTAAGAGACTTTTCTAATTCTGGAATTCTTTGCAACCTAAGATTAGGTATTTACTCTGTCACTCCAGATGAAAGATTTCTAGCCATCTTAGGTCATAACCCTTTTGATCTACATTGACCCTAAGATGCAAGTTGGTATTGTATACCACTTTGCTTCAGTAAGTAGTTTCCAACCTTTGAAACTGTCATCTCAGTATTAGAGTACATGTCATCTTCATAAAGTACCTCTTAATAATGGTTTTTTTTAATTTTTTTTTCAAAATTCATTTGACAGACAGAGATCACAAGTAGGCAGAGAGGCAGGCAGAAAGAGAGGAAGGAAAGCAGGCTCCCTGCTGAGCAGAGAGCCCGACTCGGGGCTCGATCCCAGGACCCTGGGATCATGACCTGAGCCGAAAGCAGAGGCTTTAACCCACTGAGCCACCCAGGCGCCCCTAAATTTTTTTAATGTTTTGAAAGTCAACACCGTTCAGTCATTTTTCTTATTAAAATATTTCTACTATATCGGGCACCTGGGTGGCTAAGTTGGTTAAGCAACTGCCTTCAGCTCAGGTCATGATCCTGGAGTCCCAGGATTGAGTCCCACCCACATCGGGCTCCCAGCTCCATGGGGAGTCTGCTTCTCCCTCTGACCTTCTCCCCTCTCATGCTCTCTCTCTCTCTCAAATAAATAAATAAAATCTTTAAAAATAAATAAAATATTTCTACTACATCAATGTATTGGTGATTTCCTCATCCTATTTTCTTAAATGGCATGCTGTTTTTGTCAGTGAAGGCAAGAAATCACCATAGTAAAATACTTAAAATTAATCTAAGAGATCCTAGATTCTCCCATTGCTTCCTCAGAGTAAGGCACAGACTCATATCCACAAGCACGTAAGAAAATGGTGACACTGGATGGGCACAAAGAAGTAAGGTGCCCTAGAATGCAAGTATGCAAGTGCCTCCAACACAGGGAATTGGGACGGGATGTTCTGGTTTGTTTGTTGATATATCCCTAATCCCTAGAACAGCTCCTGCAATGTAGTATGTGCTCAATAAATATTTGAATGAACAAATAAGTCAGAAGGACTATGGTGAACTGGAGTGTTCATGGCCACCTTTAAGGCATTCAAATTTTAAAAAACAAATAAATAAACAAATGCAAACAACAATAAAAGCCTGATGTCAGTCAAATACACCTGGAGGTGTGATGTGCTACACTTGCTCTGCACCAGGGTTAGGACTCTGGTGTGTTCACTGATGCAAGTGTCATTGCATGATGGAGAGTATAATCTATCTTCTAGATAACTTAGACTGAATAGAATCCCTTAAACCACTTAGAAAACTCAGACAAAGAAATTTTTCTCATCTGAGTTGGAAAATAACATTAATTCACCACCTTAAATCTGCATGTTGCCTACCAGGCTTAAGACTCTTCTCCCCCACTGACAAACACTGGGGGCTGGGAGCACTGGCAAGGGAGATCTCATCACAACTGTCCAGCTCAGGATGCCCTCTTTGTCCCCAGAGGTGGAAAATTCCTTTCTCCCCAAGAGATGCCAAGCACCACAAATCAAAATGGCACCACAAAGGCTCTGAAAATTAAATTGTAATTGAAACTACAGCCCAGAAGTAGGCCAGGACCTACCTGCTAAACCTAAACAGTGTGACTTCCTTTTAAAAGAAAAGATTTAGATAGGATCCAGGGTCTCCTAACATAAGAGCCAAATGTCCAAGTTACAATAGAAACTCACTCATCATACCAAGAAACAAGAAATGACAACTGGAATGAGAAAAGATAACCATTTGACACCAATCACCAAGATGAATCAGACACTGGAATTATCTGACAGGGATTTTAAAGCAGCCATCATAAAAATGCTTCAACAAACAATGATAAATTCTCTTGAAAGAAACAAAAAATCAAAAATCTCAGCAAAGAAATATGTTATTTTTTAAAAAGAACTAAACATAAATTGCAGAAATGAAAAATATAGGAGAAACAAAAATCTCACTGGATGGGCTCAGTAGTAGAGTGGAGATGTGTTGGTGTATAACCCTTTCAAGAGCTTCCCATGCGTAATCTGAATCCTCCTCCTGTACGTTGGGAGTGGGGAGACACAGGGGGAAAGGGGCAGACTACTCCAGTTTGGTGGGTGGCAGGTTTAATAAGCAAAGAGAACTTACTTGGGTGGCCAGAAGATGAGTGGATCCCTGCACCTGCGCACCAGATCTTAAAGTTTATATAGAGGCCTTAAATGGGTTCAGCCAATACCCTGTGCAGATGTTCTCCACGCCATATCACTGTCTCAAAGTGTATCCTTGCAGTAGCCTCTGGGAGCAGAAAAGACAAGTAGAACCCACATTTCAAGGACAAGGGAGGAGGTGAAGATCCTCCAGTCACCTGGGTCCAGCTCACAGGGTCCAGGTCAACTGGCAGTCACAGCTTTTTGAAGACCTTTCTCAACAAAACAACAGAGGATAGAATTAGCGATCCTGAGAACAGAAAATAGAATTTACCCAACATGCACAACAAAAAGAAAAGAAACTAAAAGAAAAATGGATAGATTCTCAAGCACAGGACAAAAGATCCAACGTGTATATCATTGGAGTCTCAGGAGAGGAAGCAAGTGGGACTCAAAGAGTGTTTGAAGAAGTAATGGCTGAAACTTGCCAAGTTTGGCAAAAGACATAAACCTACAGATATAAGAAGCTGAGAAAAAACCCAAGTAGGACAAAACAAAAAAATGCATGCCAAGACACATCATAACAATGTTTCTGAAAACTAAAAACAAAAACCAAAAAATCCTGAAGATAACAGGAGAGAAATGACACATAACCTGTAGGGGAGTACCAGTTCATATGACAGCAGACTTCTCATCTGAAACCACGGAGGAAAGAAGAGAGTGGCATGACATTTTTCAAGTGCTGAAAGAAAAAAACCCTCAAACTGTGAATTTTAGATTCAATGCAACTTCATTATACAGGAATGAAGAGGAATAAAAATATTCTCCAACTAAGAAAAACAAAATACTTGTTTTTAACCTATAAAGATTGGCTAAAGGAAGTTCCTCAAACTGAAAGGAGATGACAAAGGAAGGAATCTTGAAGCATCAGAAAGAAGGAAGAACAACAGAAGAACAGAGATAAGGATTCATGTGATAAACTACCCTCCTCATGAGTTTTACAAATCCTATTCAGTGATGAAAACAAAAATTATACCACCAGCTGATATTCAAGATAACATTATTTAAAAGGGAGTAAAGTAAAGGGACCTAAAAGGAAATAAAGTCTCCACTCTTCATTCCAAGTGGAACGTGTTAACACCAGTGAATTGCAGTAAGGCACAGATGCATTTGTAAGAAACCAGAGCAACCACTAGGAAAACTGTGCACGGAGATATATTCAGAGACCCTACAAATCTGCATGGTGGGGAGCTAGTATAATAACAGTAACATTTCTTAAGCATTTACAGTGACCTCTACCAATACTATCCTTACAACAATGCTATGTGATCAGCAGTATTAGTCTTATTTTATCGGTAGGGAAATTGAGGCTAAATTCAGATTTGAACCCAGAACTTTCTGACCATTCACCTACTGTCTCAGCTCTCTCAAAAAATCTGCAAGTAACTTGGTATATTATTGGGAGAATGGAATGACCATAGTCCCCTTGGTTTAAAGAAATAAGAGGGATTACGTAAAGTGCATAAGTGCCACTAGTTGTGCACATAGGACACTTACGCAGCCATCAAAGTAAGAGTTCCTGAATAATGAAAAAGGCGTAAATCCAAGCATTCATCTGAGTACAGGGAGTGAACATTTTTCTGGATATTGGTTTAGAAGGATTGAACTTCACTCCATCTTGTCAACCACTCAGCCATAAGTCTAAATTAGTAAAAATGGATGTGTCACCTTGACACATCTGGTATCACTCTCAACTCTCTGTAGCATTTGGACTTGTATTTTTGAGGAGCAGAAAGTGGCTAGATGGTCCTAAAAGTTATTTTGTTCTAGTTGTCATAGTAGTGTCATGCTTAGGGGAAAATGGGGCAGCATCAGCTAGCTTTTAAGAAAGAATTAACAGATGGGGCACCTGCGTGGCTCAGTTGGTTGGGTGCCTGATTCTTGATTTTGGCTCAGGTCATGATCTCAGGGTCCTGAGATCAAGCCCCATGTCAGGCTCCATGCTCAGTGGGGAATCTGCTTGAGATTCTCTCTCTCCTCTCCTCCGTCCCCCTCCCTCACTAGAGAAGGAAGGAAGGGAGGGAGGGAGGGAAGAAGGGAGGAAGGAAGAGAGAAAGAGAAGAGAGAGAGAAAGAATTAACAGCAAGTGCTATGAAAAACTAAGTATTGGGCAAAGAGAACTTCAATCATAAAAGATGTTTTATTATTAATGAGAAAGCTTTTTTTAAAATTTCTTTTTTTTTCTTTTTTTTCCCCCCTAGGTATGCTATGAGACTAAAAACCCATTCAGGCCCCAATGCAACACCAGAGGACAAACAATTGGCTGCATTATGGTGAGTGCATAATATCAGCTTAAAATACATTCCTCAGCCTTGTATATGTATATGTTCATTGGTAAACCAGGTGCTGAAATGCATACGTTTTTCTAGTGTCTTCTGACATGCAAAACCAAATGCAGTTCTAATGGTGACCAGGGAGAGTCCTCACCGTTTCTTGTTGCTATACCATGCATGATCTGAATTCACGGTGATTGAGAATCAACAGGTCCATTACACAAGAATATTTGTTACTCTGTGTGATTGTATATGTCTCTGTGTGTGCCTGTGTGCACACATGCACGTACCTATGCGTGTGTGGGTGTGTACACCCAACTTTAAAATTAGGTAGGTCTGTGCTTTAATAATTTGAATGTGAATTGTGCCAAGTGTCATTTCTCTTGTGTTTAACACTTTAGACACAATCAAATTAATCCATTTGTCTATGTACATGTGGGATTAGTATGACTGAATCAAGATGATGGGCTGAAGTTCTCAACACATCAGTCTAAGGAAGAAGTTCATTACACTATAATAATAGAAGAATTTCTTTTAAACTGTTCCAATATGTAATAGATCTTTTCTATATCTGTAATGATTACAGTGGTACTGATTATGTGAGGATAATAGTTTTCCTCATTACATTTCCTTGGGACACCTCATCCCACTCTCCCAAATCACAGGACACCTACCTGTAGAAATCCGACATTCTTTGCTCTCTGGTGGTTCACACTCTACTCTAGAACCTAATCTACAGGCGGAGAATCAAGTCTCAAGGAAAGTAACAGCAACATATACAGAAGAGAGTGTCCTTGGGTAGTTTTCCATCATCTGCAGTTTGATGTGCTTAGAAGAGACTAGAAAGTTGTATGTGGTATGTTGGCATTCCAGCATGTCAGCACCAGATCTGATTAGCAAATAATTATGAGTGAAAAGCTCCAAGGAAAAGAGGGTATGTCTCAGGAAAGGCTTTCTGCGTTCTTTTCAAAGTTCCATACTAGGATTAACAAATTAATAATGATTAATAATGCTTCATATTATATAAGATAGAATACTAATATGTAAATAATAAATATAAAACAATAAAATAATAATAACTACTCTCAGCATTGAATTCTTTCTGCTTATAAGACATTTGTACCTGTTACTTTATTTGAACTACTTCCAGTCCAGTAAAGTAGTTTAGAAGTGAAGGGAATACAAACAGGTAAAGAGCTATTCTTTCAGCTAAGCCAACACTGCTGAGGTCCTGGGCACCAGGGGGCAGTCAGGAAGGAAGGTGGCTCCGGCCAGAGACTCACCCAGTCACGGTGAAAGCTGTGTGTTAGCACTCCCTCACTCCTCCCATGGAGAGAGACTGCCCTCTAGTGGCAGAAGAAGAAAATGTCCTGTCCCTTAGCCCCAAGAAAGAAGCAGTAAAGCCAGGATCTAGTGGTAAATGTATTTATGGTGTAACTCCTTGGAATTTTGAATTAGATCTTTTGAACACAAGGAAGGTCAGATACTTAGCAGACATAAACATAAGTATAATGATATTTCATATACATAATTGTGAAATATAAGTGGGGTGCCTTCGAACAACAAGAGTTTTTGTTTAAGTCTTGTTGGCAGAGGACACACTCATGCTCCCAGCACCCATTTCTCTCTTTCCGCCGCAGTTACCGCTGCCTGGCTCTCCTGTATTGGCGGATGTTTCGGCTCAAAAGAGACCACGCTGTGAAGTATTCAAAAGCACTTATCGACTACTTCAAGGTATTGTCTGACTAGTGGGCAGCATTGTTGCTTGTGCCCAGTGGTATCCCGGTCAAGGACATTTTTGAGGAGCCTAGTAGAATCCCTGGATTTGGGGGGCATACAGGACCCCTCTGATATCAACAGTAACCCCTTTTATGATATATTCACGGTGTTCAAGTCCCAGAGAATGACCTTGTCAGCCCGTCTAATTTATCCCCCTGCCTTGTGTCCAAGTACTTTCACGGTCTCAGGAGGAAGAAGATCCAATTACCCACTCCAGTGTCCTAGGAAACTCCTCTTCATAGCTAACAAATTCCTCATGTTCGCTTACAGCTTCTTCCTCTTGGAAGTAACTACTTAGAACTTCCTCGTAGCTCCCTCCAGTAGCTCATTTAATTTTTAGTAAGGGTGTTGTTTTAAATGACAAGAAATGGCTCATTGGAACACAGAGGCACTAGGACAATGGCAGTGGGTAAATATAAGGGTAGAATTGGAAACCAGGCTAACTTCTACCTATCTCAGGAAATGAAATCATTTTTACTGGGGGAATGAAAAAAAAAAGAAAATCTTGTCTGCTGTACTTGTGAAACGGACATGAAGTTATAATTCATTTGAGATTTCTCGGTCTCCTTGCTGTCCATTTATCTTCAGAAACAAGAAATGTATACCACTTCCAGCTCTAACAACCCTTTGTCAGATATACACCATCATTTAGTTCCTTTAATTTACTCCCCAACCTCCGCTTCTTAGAGATCACTGTTGACCAGGCTGTGTTGGAGTTTCCACGGGCTGTATCCAGCATGCCACTGGCTTCCTGGTCAAGCATGTAGAGTAACCAGGTGCTAATGCAAGGAGAGAACTGTTTTGACACATTGACCGTTCTGTGTCATAATGACAAGAACAGACACAAAGCCTATTCCTTTACTTTGGGGGCCTAAGGCCAAGAGAGGTCGTTTCCAAAATGTCAGAATCTAAGAGCTAATACTGAAGAGCATTATTAGAGTTAAAAAAAAAAAAATGCTTGAATAAAAAAGGAATCTGAACTCTGCAAGCCACAGAGCTAACAACAGAACTTTTAAGGGATACAAAAATTTCTTAGCACGTATGAATGCCATTCATGAATATGTACAGAATGGGCAAAGAACACAACTTAAACATCTGGGTTTCCCCTCCAGAGGTTATTAGTATTTATCTTTAATTAAAAGCCATTTAAATGGTACTTAATGTTCAGAGATTATGGGAGTGCCTGGGTGGCTCAATCAGTTGAGCATCTATCTTGATTTCAGCTCAGGTCATGATCTTAGGGTTGTGGTACTGGGCCCTGCCTCAGGCTCTGTGCTTGGCGCAGAGCCTGCTTAGGCTTCTCTCTCTCCCTCTTCCCTTGCTCTTGAAAGAAAATGAGGGGGGGAGGGGAGAGAGAGAGAGAGGGAGAGGGTGGAAGGGAAGGCAGGAAGGGAGGGAAGAAATCTTAAAAAAAAAAAAAAGTTCAGGGGTTATGAAAGCTTCAGGCAGCGATGATAATTTGTCCATAAAGACTGTGTTTTATCAATACTGAGCTGCCTCTGAAAAAAAAAAAAAAGACTTGGTTCTCGCATATGTTTTTACAGTCACGGGGCTTCCTGGTAATAGAAGAGGCCTGAAGGCAATTCCAGAATTGCCACCTGTTAGGCCATTTCTTACCATTTTGGTAACACCTCCACTAAAAACTAAAAATCACTCACCACTTCCTAGAGTCCTTTTTAACCAAAAGAAACACCTTGTCTCTGGGGAACCACGCTCAGGCTGTTTTAGAAAATTCACATCAGTATCATAAAGACCATTCTTTTTTTTACTAGTCCCTTAGACTTACGTGCAAGAACGCATTATCAGGCTTTCAGAGGGGAACTCTGTACATTTAGCGACTTTCCTTGCCACAGGCAGAACTTCTTTTCAATGCCTGATGCAGACAACCAGCTCATGTAACACAACATTCTAAATCAAAATATTCAGATTAATCAGTTTTTGAATACTCTGTTAAGGACATATATTTTAATCTTTCTTTTAGAAAAATTCAATAGCAATTTCCTTTAAGAGAAATAATTTTAAGCTTCATAAGTCAAAACAATAGAATTTGGTGTCTCATATATTTTCAAGCATTAAATGTATGTCAGTGGGTTCTATAGATATGCCCTACATTTAAATATAAGGTGTTCTCAGTGGTGTGGCAGGTGTGGGGGCTACTCTTGCTGTTTTTTTTCCTTTTCAGGAAAATTAAGCTAGTTGAAAAAATTTAGGCTGGTTTAGGATTCAACAGACCCTCAGGATTATTATTTAATTTGGTACATAGAATTCGGTGCATGAAAACCCAGGCTGTGGAGTAAATTCTCCATTTTAGCCCACCGTGAAATCCACCAGGCCATGCACCTGCCCCCCACTAGCTTCCATAAAAGAAACCAGTAGCCTAGTAATTTTAACTTCCCAGATTCAGTTTCTCTGAGTCTTCATTTTATCTGCAGTCTTTGCCATTACTTCTCTCAGCGGTCACCTAAGAACATGTTACTATCAGCTGTTTAAACTTAAACAGATGGACTCACTGTCAACGTTTTTATTTTCCTGCAGAATTCATCTAAAGCTGCCCAAGCCCCATCTCCATGGGGGGCCAGTGGAAAGTAAGTGCATTTCTCCAAAGTAAAGGTGATAAATGAGACACAGCATGATATTGGGTCATGTGCTGCTTTGCTTACAGTAGTGGGGGGTGGGGAAGGACTGTTCTACCTCACCCGGTACCAACCTCCACACTCTTGTGTTTTTCTGCACTCTCACCTTCCAGGAGCACTGGAACCCCATCCCCTATGTCTCCCAACCCCTCCCCGACCAGCTCTGTGGGATCTCAGGGGAGCCTCTCCAATGCCAACGCCCTGTCCCCTTCAACCATCGTCAGCATCCCACAGCGCATCCACCAGATGGCAGCCAATCACGTCAGCATCACCAACAGCATTCTCCACAGCTATGACTACTGGGAGATGGCAGACAACCTGGCCAAGGAGAACAGAGGTGTGTGCCTCCAGGGTTTGTGTGTGTGTTTCCATCACATCTCAGGGAGCCAGCCTGATGCTGGACATCATCGAGCAAGTTTTCATCATTCACCCGAGAAGACGTAATAGGAGTTGTCACTTACTGTATGAAACTTTGCCTGACCTCTCCCCCTCATTCATGGCCTCCTGTGCCTTGACCGACCTTAATGTTGACTGTGGGAGATTAGAGATGGAGGTAGAGATAGTCACAATGCAAGTACATAGAAATGAGGTAGACACCTGTATGGATACACACACACATGTGCACGCGCCTGATTTTCCCTTGAGATGGTGAGCTCATTGAAGGTAAGGGTAGTCTTCTATTCAGTTTAGTGTTCCCAGCACATCCACAGTACCTAGAACACAGCTGGGGAGCTGAAACATTGAATGAATCAACTGATTAATTAAGGAGGATGAATGTTCCTAGCTACTTACATGATAGGAACCTACCACTTACCACTGAAAAGGGAGTATTTTCTAGGTAGCCATAAGCTCTATTTCTCTTTAAACAAGGTTTCTCTTTTCACAGATTATAAGACAAATACATGTCTACTGTGGCTAAATTTGTAAAATGTGAAAAACTACAGAGAAAAATGTTTTTTAATTATCAGTAATCTTATCAAAAAATAATTACTCTCTTAACATTCTACTGTAGTTTCTTCTAGTCTTCTCCAAATACGCACGATCTTATCAAAGTAAGATTGCAGTCCATATGCAGTCTTATATCCTGTCTGTTTCCATTTAACAATGTATCAGGCATTTTCCCATGATACTTACTTCTTCAAAAAATATATGATGTTGGTTCTAGAAAACTGTCATAATAGTGCTTATGTAGTCATAAAGTATCATGATTTCACAAAACACCCCCTTCTTGTTGGAAATTTATGTCACTTCCAATTTTTTATACTATTACAAATCATGTTATGATAAATATCTTTATATAAATCATTGTCCATATTCTGATTATTTTCATCAGAGGGAGAATTTGGGTGTCAACAGGTATAATAGATTCCTTTAAGATACATATTATTATATATCTTGACATATATTATAAACTTTCTCCCAAAAGATTATACCAATTTACTACTCTCCCTCCAGCAGCAGGTGAGAGTGCAAATCTGACCTCACTTTGAAGCCATAAAATGTGAATTTTGTTCAGAGGATATCATAATCTTCTGAGGACAAGACCAGAATGTCCACATTGAGATGAGGAATTAATGGCACAGATAAGCAGATGGGTCCTGAGTACATGAAATTGGTAATAAAACCAGATAGTACATAACACGCATCTCAGAGGTGGTGCCCCATGAAAATCTAATGGGAATGCCAAGGGAGGTCAATGCCAGGGGACTGAGGCCACCAAGAAAGGCTTGTTAGAGGAACTGGCATGGGACAGGATTTTGAAAAACAAATAGTTGTGTGGCTGATTATGGAGTGGGGTGGGCATCACAGGTGAACAAAACAGAAGGGACAGGACAAAATTGACATAGCCAGTTTGGAAGACCCTGAGCAGGCCATGCTCCAGATGGCACTGCCAGCTGTCTACTGGATGTCTCCTACCAGAGGGCTCAGTGCTGCATGTCCAGTGCAAAGTCGGCATTGCTTCCCAGACCCACTCCTCCTCCCCTCTTCTGCTCCTGGATTCCTGCTTTGGCTATCCTCCCAGCCACCTGAGAGTCTTCTCTAACCTCTCCCTTGCCTTCTCCAGTGGTACTTCATTCAGCATGTATATGAGCACCTCTGAAAAACTTCTCCCAGATACTTACCCTCACGGTGTTGTTCGGTGATCCAGTTATGACAGCACGAGAGCCATACGAATTTGTCTGTATTAGCCACTACACTGGGATCTCTGGGAGATCTGGGAGCCTACAACATTATTCCCCATGGTATACTCCCCTACCTCTACCCTCCTGTGCCTAGCACAGTGCCTTGGCACCTAATAAATATTTAATGAAAGGACAAACCTAGAGACTGTCCCAGGACTAAAATGTGACTTCAGGAGGATTTTTCAGAACCCTTCTCTGATTTGCTTCCAGGGGCCTAGAGCCTCCTCCCTTGGACTCACTCCAGCGGTTCAGCATATGCTACAATTGAGTCCAGTATAAGGGGCAACAGAGCCACAACCCCCATCCAGGGTAGGAAGCATTCATGCACACGGACAATGCAGTCTGAGGAAGTAAATTTTCTTTGCTCTTTGGCTCAGTAATTGTTACTCATTTAAATGAGAAATGGACAATAGAATCCTTTGGATATAGAATGAGTTCACCTGTGGATTCTGTTCCATTGAACGCTCAAGTTGCATGATGGAATAGAGAATCCTTGATTTCTATAAAGACGAGAAAGGGAATTTTTTTTCTTAAGTCACTCGGGTCTCCCAGGGTAGCACTCTTATTAGCCTGTGTGTCACTCAAACAACTCTTCTGTATCCCCTAGAATTCTTCAATGACCTGGATTTGCTCATGGGGCCTGTCACCCTGCACAGCAGCATGGAACATCTGGTCCAGTACTCTCAGCAGGGCCTGCACTGGCTGCGGAATAGCACCCACCTCTCATAGGGACCTTGCCCATGAGCTGGATTGTGCTCTCATCTCCACAGATGGCTCCATGTGTCTGGACACTGTGCTACTGAAGTCCCCGGCCACAGCATTTCCCAAACTGCGGTGAATATTTCCTCAGCATCGAACAATGGTCTTTTCCCAGGGCGTGTGTGTTGGTACGTGTGTGTGGGTGTTGAAGAATCTGCCTGTGTGTGTGTAAGATACACAGCTCTTGAGAACACGTTTTCTTTGTCTAGTTTCTGTAATCCCAAACTAGGCAAAGTGAGCAGAGGTTTCTGATTAGAGAATATACACTTACACACACACATGCACACAAAATCACACACACACTTTCTGTTTCAAAGCTAAACCATGACTTCTAGAACATTCAACCAAAATCTCATGGGTTAGTTAACCAGGTGCAAGACAGCACACCAAAAGCTTGACTGCCAGTTAAGATGAACCTAGTTCTTACATTGTTGATTACTTTCAGTATTAATGTACTATTCCCCCAATTAATTTTAATTGTGTGTATTTATGGGTAATTGAATAATGAAAAGAAGTCAGTTATTTTTGTGCCTGACGTTTACTAGATTGCATGTGACCAAATACCTTGCCTTTTGTCTATTCCCCACCCCTTCCATCCAACTTATTATCACCTAAAGGCATCATGAGCAAATGGATCAAATCCCACAGGCCTGCCCTGCCCTGCCCTGCCCTCAAAAGCATATGTACATGGCACTGGGATCTGGCAAAAAGTCAGTGTCTTTGAAAGCTAACCGACACGAAAAGACAGCTGTGCTCGGAGCTCAGTCAAGAGTTGCAAGCTTCTGCACGTGCCATGACAAGCCCACCCAGCACATGTGTTGTTTCTTCCTGCCACTGTGACACAGTGGCCACAGAGCCACATGGCATTCATCAGTCAATATTTTTCAAGTCTCTTCCCTCTGCGATAGCTCTCTTACAAATGTTCTTGGCCAAATTAGGACATTTCCTAGAATGTCTCTTCACTAGGAGTCTGTATCAGCTCCTTCTCAGGCTGAGAACCATTCGCTATCACGAGACTGATCTTCTCACTCTTTGGGCAGAACGCAGTCCTTTAATGCATTTCAATTTGGGGGCTGTGTTTCAGGCTTTGATTAGCAAGCTGCTTACTGTGCAGGGTAAGTTATTTTTGCAAAGACCGCTAATCTGTTTGGGGTAGCAGCGACCACAGCATCGTGCTTCCATCCCGAGTGTCTGGTATGTTTATGTGTTGCCCTTGATTCTTTTCTTTTCTTTTTTTTTTAAATGAAGTTTACATTTTAGTTTTTTGACATCTCGTTTACAGTTTTTGTCTGAAACTTTAATAGTCTCTTATCGTGCCCTAGATTTAGTCTTTTTGTTAAATATACTTGGATATAAAAAATACTGGTAAAAAGAAAAATTCCTACAAAAGAGCATAGACCTTGCCATATCCTTAAAAACAAAAATAATGTCCTTGAAGCCTTTCACTTGACAGAATTGCACCAGGATGGTCTGAAAAAGACAGGTGCATGCCGTAGGTGGAACACTCCGTTTTCCAAGGTGATGGTGGCACAAAACATTGATAATAGATAGTGATATATGCTCCCCCTGATGCTCTTACTGGTTTGGTTGTAATGGTCATATTTTTGTCACCTGACCTGTAGGTGGGAAATAAGACTGCTGTAATTCTAAGCACTGATTCAAAATTATTGAGCAACTTTGGTGATCTGAAGTGAATCGAAAGTAAAGGGTTCGAAGGGAAATAAAGCCGGTGAAATATTTGTAAAATTTGTATTTGGCTTCAGCCCTGAAGCAGCTAGAAATACTACCAATATTTCTCTTTTACTTTTATCTGAGGTGTTCCTCACATCCCTTTCACTAGTTGTTGGCAGAGTTCATGATCCCCTCCTATGTTGGAAATTTGAGTCTAATTTAGGAAATTTTGGACTTTTTGTGTTTTTTATTTTTTGGAGGACCAAGGCTTATTTCTACTTCCTCTTGCTGAATTCGGATGAAAAGTTGAAACTCTCACATAAAGGGATGATGAACCTCAAGGTCCGCATCATGTGTCCCCGGGGTGCTTTCTGGCCCTGCCCATCCTTAAAGTCACAGCTCTTACGGGAGCCCCATGATGTGCTTACCCACAAAACCCCAGGGTAAACACACCAGTGGCCCCTGGCTGATTGTGCCCACAGCATTTTAAGCACTTAGGTGGCCCATGTTTCCCAGCAAAACTTGGAACTGGTTATTTTGGGAATGGTCAGAACATGTAGGTCCCTCCCTGTCTTTGATCTCATCAACAGACCATGTGAGGACAGCAGTTTTTGTTTGCTTTGGCGTAGGTGATTTTGGTAAGAAACCATATTCTGGTTGTTGTTTGTGAAAGTCATTCATAACTTGTTCTTTTTATTTAGCTTTGTTCAAAGTAGGAATACCTTTCTTGTGTTTTTGGATTATAAAACTAATACATGCTAGTTGTAAAGATTCAAACGAAGACAGCAATGTATAAAGTAGAAAGTAGTATGTCCCATCCCCCGAAGACAACCACTGCTCACAGTTATTCATGTAGATTCTTCTAGAGATTCTCCCATTTAAACATATAATATCTGTTATCGTTTTTTTCTATTTGAAGACACATTATTTCCTCAGAAGCCCAACACAAGTTCAGCTGACCTTACCCTTCCATGACCTGAGTGGATGCCTTCCTTTATCACAATATTAGAGTTACCTTTGAAAGAAAGTTACCCAAATACATTCCTGATCAAAATCTGGAATTTGTTACTACTCTCTATACAGATCAGACTTATGTGCAGGATTGTGCCTGGAAAGAAAGGCTTGGTTAAAACACATATTTCTGGAAACATTCAAATTGCAAATGGAAACTCGGACCCACTATCTAAAGAAGAATGTACTGGAAAAATAATCTGAAGAGTTGACAAATTGTGTACTAGATTGAACACATGGAATGCAATGCAATGAGATTTTCTGCACTAAAACTTATCCTAGTATGTAAAACAATGATGTGTGTATTATATAACAGTGATATGTACATTTCTGACATCCCATACATAATATACACAGTTTGTATAAATGCATACATTTAAAAATATATATGTACAATACAGCTAACATAAAACTGTAGTATGCCTGAAGGATATTACTAGTGCCTAACATTGAGTATAAGTCACTGCGTGTTCACATCACCTTGGAAGTGCAGTAATTGTTACAAAATTAATCAGTGCAGCCAACATTATTTATGAATCACATCTTTGAAACTGTGCAGTAGTATATACATATATATTTTTAAATAACATTTTTCACAGTTTTCCAGAGTTACTGTTGAAATCTGTATCACCAAAAAAAAAAAAAAAAAAGCAAGATTTTTTTAATGATGTAGACACTCTTCAGACCCAGTAATCTGTGTGTGATTTCCTGTTTGTAGATACCCAAGAGACTTTAGCAGTCACCAGCCTTAATGCATGTACAGGATATTATTGTGACTTAATTTATCTGCAGTTTTTAATCCATGTGAAATTGGAATTTATAAACTGACCTGGATTAAATATGTCTGCCTTTCTAAGGTTGCAAATGTTACATTAAATGATTTATGTTGTAAATGAGAGAAACCGAGTCGTATGTTAAAAAAAAAAAAAAAAAGTCCACCAATCTCTGTGAATATTTTTCAAGGAAATTGGATCAAAATATATTCAAATAAGTATTCGGGTCCCTGGTTCATAATCTCTTCAGAAACAACCTTGTTGTTTCATGAATTTTTTAAATGCAGCTCCCATAGATAATCATTACTAGGTCTGATATTTTTCAGGGGCAAGACAGAAGCATGATTTTCTTCATTATAACTACAGCTTACTACTTGTCTTTCCCATTTCCCAGCATACATATGCATGCACACATGTGCAGAAGGACACAACCCAGTGTCCCAGAAAACGCTGAATAGGAAGCTTGAGTTCACTAATGCTTGTCCCACCAGAAATCCTGGGACATTGGGACACTGTTTTACTCAACATCCCTTAACGACACAAGTTAATTCCCCAAGTTATACGTGCCATGTTTTTTCAACTCAATCCAACATGGTGGAATAATGCTAGCAAATATTTGGTTGAATCAAAGAAGAGAATTTTGAGCTAACAAAGATGGAAATATTAGAACAGCGGCTTGCCGTTATCTGTCCCCATGTGTGGGAGGGTTTTTTGTTAACCTTATTTTTCCTCTTCTCACAACTTTTGCAGTCCATTCCTTCCCAAAGAAGCAGAAACAGCAACAAAAACAGAATGATTACTCTGCCTTACCCAGCCCGTAGCCTTAGATTCAAATGTTCTTGTCAGGCAGCAGGGCCACCATGGAGACCACCTCATCCCAGAGATGGCCAGGACAGGACTCTGGCTATGCTTGCTCCAGGGACCTTGATGCTCTTTTCAGAAGTGGTTTGGGCTAAGATACGCTCAACAGTCTTCCAAGAACTGTCTTTCTCTTATACAGCTTGCCTGCCGTTGAAGTCTGTTATATTCAGAATCCTATTTTTAAGAAGGAACACATTTTCAATGAAATTTGGGTCAACCAGAGTCTTGAAAGAAACTTTTTTAATGAAAGAAAGAAAAGTTAACAACATAAACTGCATTTCCGACAATTCTCCAAGCATAGTTTTTGATATCCCAGCTTCCTGGCAAAGAGAACAAGAAATGTTCAGACGTGAGATTTGTGTTCTCTTTGTCCAAATTGAATTATTCTGTATATGTCATCAGAAGGGTCAGTTTGTGTGGCATGAGGAAAATTACAAAACTCTGTTCTCAAACTAATTACATCTGACCACAGTTTTGGCTTTTATGATTTAATTGGCATTCTGAGGCACCAGGGGGTAATTTTGAGCTGGCTCCAAAGGGCATTTAGATTCACAGCTCTTACTCACGGTAATGGGAATCAGGGGATTAAATCCCTATGTGTTATTTTGAAAATCCGCCTCTTAGAGCCAGTTTTAAACACACTGATCTGAGGGATGAATTCGAAGTACTAATTGCAACTCGACACGAGGATCAGCATTTGTCTGTAAGTATCAGGAAGTAACGATGGGGCCTGAAGAACTGAATCAAGGACTTGTTTTCTACTCATTTCTGACATAGAAAAAGCCCATCAGAGAATATTTATATCCAAAGACAATGTAAAATAGTACTGGTGTGTAGGATTTTCAAACAATGCTGTTTGGTGATAAAAATAATCACAATATTCTGCTTTCTGTGTTGTTCTTCAGCCCTTCCTCAGTTTTCCATAAGACGAAACTGACTCTTCCCCCAGTGTTTATCATCTCTTGATTTCTGGATGTCCACATGAGCAAAGAGAGCATACTTAACACTGAGAAATATGCACTGCTTGACTGAACAGCTTTCTGTCCACAGTAGCCAAAGGTATATGACTTCTTAAAGAACACTCTTTGAGTCTTCTCTGTTACCTTCATCTTCCAAAATGAGAGATCACAAAGCCTCAAGTATGGCCATGTAGTTGAGATGTCAAAAATTCTAAGCGTATAACATACTGATTTAGTGATAGACGCTTTCCATAGCATTGCCGGCTCTCTCTGAGGCCTACCTGTGTGGTGAAGTAACAATATTAACTCTTTCCTTTGAGTAATCTGCAATCTGATTATTAATCCCCTGCAGTTCCCAGGGCTGCCAACTCAACCCAAAATGTCCTTCTCTGTGAACTGGGTTGATTTTGTTGCTCCTTTGGGGGTTTTGCCCTTCTAAGTTCTGTAAGTCGGGTTTAGTATCTTGACTTTTTAGAAGAACAGTTATTAGAGGCAGTCAGAGGTTTAAGGAAATGAGGACTCAGTATAAGAACTCATGGATGTTGGGATGAGAAGTCAGGAAAATAACTGGGGTACCCAAACCTTCCTCTCCGTTATCTGCTGCACCTGATCCTTGAAGAAAGCTCCTTTGCGTACTTCAATTTCCTCTGTGTATTTCACCCATGACCTCAGAATGTGAGGATCAACAGATTTGGGCAAGTGTTTTGAGATCTCCAGCTGTCACACGCAGCAGGGGTAACGCATGGTTGTCAGAATGGAGACAACAGAACTCTACTGTATCTACAGGCACCAAGATACAAAGGAGTGTGATGTGTAGCATGGTACTCTATCCCCCCTGACAAGGTTCTAGAGGACCAAGAGGATGGCAGTGGGGTAGCCACAGCCCCCTCCATAAGATTCTTCAGCATTTATTGTTACCACTTTGAGTCCTCCTGCCTCTAGGCAGAGCTCTAAGACCCCTGACGAGATGAAGGAGGGTGGGTCTGTCCTTGCCAGGAGCAGCAAGTCTGCCAGGTACCCCAGTTGCTGGTACAGCTCCACCCTCTCCTTTCTCATCTAGTCCTGAACTTAAGAAATCAAGGATTGTCCAGATGGAAAGAGGAAGAAGGAACACTGGGCCCAAGCTTCCGGTGTGGGCCATCTTCCATGAGAAAGTAACTTGCCCTTTGAACACCATGCTTCAGAAATCTTTGGTAGAGCCAAAGAACACAGCACAGTCTCGTTTTCCTTGCTCTCGTGGCTTTTCTTTGAAGCTGAGTTCCAAGGAGTGGATCTTGTGCCTTTGATGGTATGTTTGTGTGTTTGTTTGTTTGGGGCCAGGAGGTGGAGGACAGCTGCTCTGGGACATTTGTCCCTGAGAAAGGAGAGCTGTCATAAGGGACTTGGGTATGTCCTAAGCTTCAGGAAAGAGGAGATCTCTCTTGAGAGAATAGATTGATGTTTTCTCTAGTGAGTTAGGTTGCCTCAACATGATCACTTAATTGCAGGCTACACCTTAATCAGTGTACCAGGAGATAGAAAAATCAATATAAGAACTTAGTGATTTTTGTGTTGCCCACCTAGAAATTTGTACATGCTGGCCCCAGATATCAAAATAAAAACTGGAAGTCTGACCAATAATCTGCAGGTTTCATACCACTGAGGTCAAGGCCCTATATGCTGAATTGAAGTTTTGAGCTTTTATTTAAAATTTATACTATTTAGACACAGCACTTCCTTGTGTCCCTAAATCAGTGCTTTGATGTCATCAAAATAATCATGAAATACTCATTCTAAAGGGTCCTTTCTTTTCATACTCACTGGAAAATCCCTAGCCTTTCTCCAGTACAAAAAGGTCTTGCAAGATCCATCCTCATTAAGGCCCAAATTGACACTAAAACCCTTTCCACAAGAACATAACACCTTGTCCGGTGTGAATTCTGAGTTTTTAGATAAAAAAAAATCCTAAAATGGCAATATAGGTTTTATTAGCATGAGGAGATGCTGATACACTAGCTAGACTCTTGGATGTCCCATTTTCTCAGGCAGGATGTTATGGAATAGACACTCCTACTACAACATAAGAAATATCTGCTGACTCCACAGTTCTGTGGGATCAAGTTGAAAGTCACTCCTATGTAAGTTTCCCCGGATCGGAGCAGGGATTTAAAATTCCACCATTGTATACTGTATCATCTTGGATGTTTATGGACCTGGCAGCTCTAATTCAGTATTCCTGCATAGTGTGTCACGTCAGACACCTTCTCAAATTCTGCATTTCGGGCTCAGGAAAGCTGTCAGCAACTTGGGAACCTGCTTACATCCCACAAGACTTTTCCGCTGATCCAGTTTTAGCAGCCACAGAAACCGATTACAGGGCCTTCATCTCCTCTTCCAGGAATTGGTCTCACAATTGTTGCCAGGATTGAAGAGGATTCTTTTTTTTTTTTTTTTTAAGATTTTTCTTTATTTATTTGACAGACAGAGACCACAAGTAGGCAGAGAGGCGGCGGGGCGGGGCGGGGGGAAGCCAGCTCCCTGCTGAGCAGAGAGCCTGATGCGGGGCTTCATCCCAGAACCCCAGGACCCTGAGATCATGACCTGAGCTGAAGGCAGAGGCTTAACCCACTGAGCCACCCAGGTGCCCCGAGGATTGAAGAGGATTCTAAGTAGGACAATTCTGTTCAGTAATTTATGCTGTAAAAATGTACCCATTGTTGGGCTGCCTGGGTGGCTCAGTGGGTTAAGCCTCTGCCTTCAGCTCAGGTCATGATCTCAGGGTCCTGGGATCGAGTCCCACATCGGGCTCTCTGCTAGGCAGGCAGCCTGCTTCCTCCTCTCTCTCTCTCTCTCTTATTTGTGATCTCTCTCTGTCAAATAAATAAAATCTTTAAAAAAATGTACCCATTGTAGCATTGATTAAAGTGCTGTATTTATAAGGTCAAATACTATTTTCATTTGTGTCTAGTCATTCAATATTAAAATAGCTTAAGTTCATCTTTGTCATGTGACACTTCTTTGGGACTTCTTGTTAGGCCGTTTGGATATGGTCATGGAGAAAGTCCAGAATCTGTGTTGATGGCCAGTATTTTAACTCGAGTAGTTGTAATGGTCTATTAAGCATCAACATTACCAACACTATCACTGATGAAACCATGTGCTCTTATCTGTGTCTTTAAGTGTGTGATAAAAATTTTAACCCAAGCAATGAATAAAGACCAGTGGCTTAAGTTCACTTTAGTTCACTTTCTCCAGCTTTTCTTCTCAAAATTCTTTAACAGTTTTTCCAAGGAAATTCCAATGCATCCTCGTGAGGGCCCCCAGATCTCTTACTCCTCTAGAGGGGTCTCTTCTCCCAGGT